GAGGGAACTTATCCATAACAACTTGCTAGACATAGCCAAACTTCTCAGGGCCTAACCAAACTTTATCTGGGTAGGATTTAGTGATACCCAGCTCCACTAAAACATGAGCTAAGGACGGCCTGGAGCCGATATAAGTGGCAGAATCAATTTTGAAAGGTTTACCAAAGAGAGAGCCTAAACCGTGAAGAATGTGGGGAGAAAAGAGGTGAGGACATAATTGCGGAAAGTATACCCAAATCGGGATCACCGGCGACTCAACACCGGCATATACTATGGGAGACCACTTGGTAAGCTTCATGTAACAATTGTACACCAAATATGATTTATGACAGAACACTCTACAGTTATCAAGATCATTTTCCAGCTTGATAAGGATATGTGATGGATCCAGTAAGGTAATTGAAACCTCCCCATTCAGCTTGAGGTTGAAGAAAAATCTACGAATAGAATCAAAAGAGGGCCATTTGCAGGGAAAAAAACCTACTAAAGAAAACTGAAAAGGAACAGTTAAAGCCTGAATTTCTTGTTCCGAATCCAAAGGGAAGGCTAGACACGAAAAGAGGATGTCCTAAGTTCTGGAAATTCAATGACAGAAAAGGAGCCCGCAAGAACATCCAAAAAAGAACGCGAAGAAGATGAACCCCCTAAAAAATCGGGGTCGCAAAGCTTCGGTGCCATTCCGGCATGCGCCAGAAAGGGAAAGCGAGCCAAAAACTAAAAAGCCAAAAGCAAAACCAGAAAAGGAAGAGAATTTCGCTAAAAGATACAGAAATTGTCGGCGCCACCGAAGCGAGCAGCCCCAGCCAAGTAGAACCGCGCCGGAGGGAGCTAGGGCAAAGCCCTAGGAGAGCGAGCGAAATGATAGGAGGGCATACCTCTTGACCAGGAATGTACCACCTTATGAGTTTGATATTATATACTATTAAAGTACTCAAATGAAAAATTCAGGGAGTCCTGATCAAACTCGTATGATCTTGAATTTTTTTTCAATTATTAAAGAAAATGTAAGACTTATGTGATCAATTTATTATATAAATTATCGATCCCAAATGAAATTTTCTATTTGATGTCATTTTTTGTTAGTGTTGATGAAGGCAAATCAAAGAAAAATTTTAAAGTAGGTTATGCACTTTTTTTTTTCTTTGCATTAATTATTATTATTATTATTATTTTCAAATTAGTGCTTTGATTTTAATTATTAAAATTGTGATATTTTAATTTTTTAACTAAATCAAATGCTAAATATTTTTTTAGGAAACTTTGAATATTCAAATATTTATTTAAAAAAATTAAATTCTTTCAATACAAAAAAATAACTCCTTTACCATCAGCCCGTAAATCACCATTCATATTTTAATATATTTAAAATATAACATAAAAAAGTATTTTAATAATTTTGATTTATATCTACCAAATAATTCACACATTTTGAAAATTTACATATTTTAGGAATATCCAATCAAATAGCCCTAAACCGGCCTGTTTAAAGGTTATAGAGACGAGAGTGAGAACAATCAAATAACAAACGAGTCAAGCATAATTGGACTAGACATATGGGCTGGTCAGTAGTTGGGCCGCAATTGGACTACAATAGTTTTAAGGCGAGATTGGAGAATGGGCCATCACGATGACTTGGAGTGAATTGGTCCACACTACAGCCCAACAGAGATAATCGATCAAGCCCGTCCATTGAATAGGTATTCGTTGTTGCACTAACATAGTACTGCATTATCCTTTTTTTATATTTCAATTGTTTAATTTAAAAAGAGACAAATATAAAATAAAATATGTATAAATTTTAATTATCTTAAAAATTATATTTTTCAAGGATTTAAAAATCATCCAAATCTAATAATTTTTAGATCCCACATACCAAAAAAATTGTAGTAGTAAACTATTTTCTATAATAGTTTAAAAAATTAATTTCCCTATATAAATTTCATAAAGTAATAAAAAAATTATGCTAAATAAAATCTAAATAATATAAAATAGGGAATATCAGCTTTACATTTAGGTCATCCCATATTACAGCTTTTTAAAGTAATTTTTAAGTATAAATTTTTTTTTTGAATTAAAAATTTATATATTTTAAAAAGAAGTAAAAAAGTTGTCTCAAACTAAGGAACTTTTATTTGGTCCGGTCACAGGACGTAGCTCTACGTTTGGCCACCAGTAGAATCGCGCCACACGTTCTCACTATTTATCGTGCGCCCCAACAACCCGACCCGAAACGGACCCAGGATGGTTTAGTATTTCTCGATTTTGCTAGGTATTGCTCGGTATTGCTAGGTATTGGTCGATTTTGCTCGGCAATAACCAATACCGAGCAAATACCAAACAGTACCGAGTTGTACCGAGTTTTTCTAGAAAAACTCGGTACAACTCGATATTGCTCGGTATTAGTCTTCATAGAGCGGTATTTCTCGTTATTGCCAAGCAATACCTAGCAATATCGAGCAAATACCGAGTAATACCTCATAATATGCGAACATAGCATTCCCGGGTTCCGGTCCGGGTCAAGTCGTCGGGCCGCGCGGTAAAGAGTAAGAGCACGTGGCGACATGTTACTGGCGGCCGAACGTAGCTCTACGTCCGGTCAGAGGAAGACTAAGGCTTCGTTTGGGATATCATTTTTATTACTTTTTCTTAAAGTAATTTTTTAGTATAAAGATTAAAATTTTTGTACTAAAAAGTTATTTTAAAAAGCTGTCCCAAATGAACCCTAAATCTAAATAAACTTTTAAAAAAGTTGATTGACCAAATATAGAAAAGATTTGATGATAATTCAACAAATTTTTTTAAGTAATAAAATTAGCTTTGTAGCTTTTTATATCCCACCACGGCAAACAAAGCAGAGAAAGCTCCCAAAGTCAAACGGGGATAATAAATAAGATAAGAAATTCATTCAAATAAAACAGCTGTTAGAAAACAAAGAAAGCTTAAGTCACGTGACTCTTAATTTAGTGATAGAAAGAGAAATAAAATAAAAAACAGCACATGCGACAAAAATACTTTTACTACGCTCCCCGAGGGGGGTCAGGAACAAACCCCCGCTGCTTACGGCCCGGAGAGGAAGGCATGGCTCTGTAGACCGGAAAATTTTTTCTTTTGGAGGTTAACAAGAGCATGGGCAAATTATTACGTTCAGTGTCAGAATTTGTTCGTACATCAATTCAAACACGTCATGTCATTAAAATATACTGAGTCCCAATATACTTGGGTGATATGATGCGTCTGAATTGGATGTCCGAATGTCCGATGACCGGACGTAATAATTCGCATAAAGCAAGTGGCTGGATTGCTTCCATTAAATAAAATTAGGAAAGCAACTCCAATAGCTACAAACAAGCAAAATTTATCTTTCTTTTTTATTTTTTTTATTTAAACTCGAACTGAAATTCATGATATATTTAACAATTAAATTATTATTTGACTTATGTGACATCTCATTTAAATTTGTATGGAATTAAATAGTGTAGAGGCTGAGAACTTATTTTATTTTAATGACCGGCTGGAATAAAATAAATACACTTAAAGTCTAAGAGGGTCGTGAGCCTCAATTTATATGGTTAAGTTATCATTTCCCTCATTTCCCATCTTGAGTGAAAAGAATAGGTCTCTTGTTCTCATGCAGAACGTCACTTCAAACGTGGAAGATCGAAAACCTCAATTATGTATTTCAATGGATTCAGATACGTTTCTAATATATTTTCTCAATGATTTGACATGTTATCCGGAGGCGAAGAAATTATTTTTCCCTCACCCTTGGATCCAACAGTTTCAAGTCAAATAAAAGAATTTAAAAGATGAGAAATTTGTTCAATATTTTAACCATATATATAATCTGCTTTGAAAACATAATTATAAGGAAAATGTGATATTTGTTGGTAGAGCCATTTTTTATAAGTAATTAAGAAATGGGACCCTTAATTTTCTGCATTACAAAATTTTGAATATATAAGGATCTAAACCAATAGAAACTCCAAATTGAGGTTTTAATGGGCTGCATGTATTGAATTTAAATTTGTTTATGGATAACATTTGACTTTATTGGCAGGCCGACTAGGAAAACTAGCGAGCATAACTTGTTCGAGAATGGAGAGTGAAGAATAGAGTGAAGAGAGAGAGAGAAACAAAATCTAAGAAAATGCTCATAAAGAACATGTTTTTATAATATCAATAAGGAATTCAAAAAAGTTTCCTCAATTACTCTTCATCACCTCATATATTTTGAGGGCCACAAAAAAAATATATATAGAAAAAAAAATTACAATACCACACATTACTCTAGTCACATGTCTCCCATAGATTGGCTGAGGCAGATGTGAGACTTATGATCCGTTTATAGGTGAGTTAAGTGGTGTCAGTGCATATCGGGCGAGTTAGGAATAGGACGAGTCTGTTGAATCAAACGAATTTGAAGACTAACCTTGCCCACATAACTCAATGAGTTGAAATTGACTAGAAGTTGCAAGTGATATATGTCAAGCCTTGAGTTAGCATGGGGAAACTAGCCACTGAGCTAAGGCAGCCAAGAAGTTGGTTGTGGTTGATGTGAATAGGGCGAGCTGAGGGCGCTAAGTTTGGATGGAGGGATAGTCACCTGTGTGAGGGAGTGTTTTACTTATAATGGAATCCATGCATGTGGTGGATGCTAATCCATGATAAATTGGTCTATAATGTGAGACATCACAACCGATTTTAGAATTTAGAAAGAAAAATTATATCACATTACTCTAATATAATTTGAATCAAGAGAAGTTTAAATTTCATGACTTATTTTAAGATTAAATATATATATATATATAAAGTTTATACTCCCCAATTTCAAAATAAATTAAATTTTTTAAAATTTATTTTAATACAAATTATCTCAAAATATTTAGATATAAATTAAATTAGAATTAGCATGAAATCATTAAATTTATTTAAAAATTAATCTATGTATAAATTATATTGCATCAAAATATTGAAAAATTCACCTATTAATTTCCCATTCGAACCATATGATATTTTACTTAGAAAACACTGAAATTAATCCGCTTTAATATGATTACACAGAGTCCTAACCTCCTTCATCGTCTTCCTAACTTAACTACGTGCCAGACCATTCATCTCACTTATAAAATTTCCCCATTTCCAAAGCTATTTTGTCTCCAACTCCACCTTCTTCCTCCCAGTCGCCGTCGCCTTTGCCTTCCCGGCCGGAATACACCTCGAGCCTCGACCGCCGTCCATCTCCATCTTTGAACTCCTGCACACAAATCAGTTCCAACGGTCAGTGATCAATGCGCTGGTGCCCACATTAATCTATCAGACCGCTTCGGAAATACCTCTCCGAGTTGTAGGAAGAGGAACGTTTGAGCGCTGTTGCGGTGCCGTCGCCGGCGAGAGTTTTCTTCTTGGTTTCGATGAGGCTGCCGCTGAAGTACTCCTTGTCTTCAAGCCTGATGGCGGAGATGCTCGGCATTTCAATCGCACCGTCCATTTCTTTCGTTTCCTGATCATAAAGATGATAATTTTGTTAGAATTTCAATTTTGAATTTGAACGGCATTCGACTGCAATTGTTTATATATATATATTTGCTTCGAGTCGGATGGATCCTTCTAAATTCTAATCAGTTTTTTAATATCTGATTATCATAGTAATTAGAGAATATAATAAGCTAATTTAAATCATTTTATTATTTTAAGCAATTGAAATCAAATCTATATAGATGGATTAAAAAAAAAATTTTTGAACATATAATAATTCGCCAGGACTAAACTCTCAGAAACTGCCATACCTCCTGCTGCTCCGTCGGTCTGCCACGCGGCGGCAGAAAGTACCTGCCTCCACCGCCGCAGCTGACGGTGTGGTCCTTCACCGAGATCGAGCCGCAAGAAATAAGATTCATCAGGACCGCCGACGCCGACGCTCGGAACCTCCCGGATGGGCATCCCGCCACCGACCGGTCGTTCTCATCTCCACCGCCAACGGCGGATGTAACAGCGACGCGACCGTCGGCTTTGATAAGCGATTCCAAAGTCTCCGTGCTCGAAGAAGATGGCGGCGGCGATATCTCGTCGCAGCTGAGCTCCGTTGTCGGATTATCCTCTTCCAGCACAACTTCCCTTCTGTTTTCTCCATCGCCATCACCCTCTCCGAACACCCTCCGCCGCCGCCTTCGCCACTCGTCGTCCGTCTGCGTAGCCGCATCCATTGCCTTCGCAGAAGCATCCGCTGCCAGCAATTTGTTCTTGTAGACCATATATTCTCCGAAATCAACGGAACTCGATGCCGACGGCGTCTTCTTCCTTCTCTCAGGCAGGAAATCCGCTCTCTCAGAGTCTATAGTTTCCTGTGACGTCGGAGAAGACGATGATCGAAGAAGCTCGGATCCTTTGAGAACATACTCCTGCCCATGAGCTGGATATATGAAATCGTCTTCAGAGAGATCGTGCCACACAAATCCATTCTTATAGCTCCTAATTAAATTGAAACGCCGACAAAATCAGAACTTGGAACAGAGCAAAACCAGTTGAAAAAAATTAAACAAATTACAGACATACCTCTTTGATGACCAAGAATACAAACTCGCCATTCCATTTCCTCGAAGGAAATTAAGACGATCAATAACATCTGCGATTCCAAACCAATAAAGAACAGATTTTTACAAGCAAGAAAGGATTTTGCAGTGAGCAAATGGAAAACTATTTTTAAACAGATAGATACCTTTTAAATAAAGTCCATCTCTTGAAGACAGAGTGACCTCCATGAAATGAGGCTGTTCGAGCTGCCCATTCCTTGAGAGATAATAAACAACAGAAACCCTCTTCTTCTTCATCGTCTCCGTCCAGACTTTCGTCCTCTCCGGACTTGAGCAGAGCTCTGCTCGCCCTTTGTTCACTACAGCCATTTTCTCCCTGAATCCAAAGCAGAGAGAAGAATCAAAATTTCACCTTTCCTTCACCCAAGAGAGAGGAGAAGCAGATTCAAAAAAACGCCGATGCCGCGGACAATAGCAAGAGAACAAGAAGGAACGCAGCTGTCCAGTTTAATAAATATAGTTGGAAAAAGGTGGGGAATTGAACGGTCTGATCTTATTCTTATGCCGCATCATGCGGCGAATGAAGAAAAATGAGTGGTTGACCGCAGGACTTATGAGTGAAAATGGATAGCCGTTGACTGCTGATTAGGTGTGGTGGATGAGAAGTAATTAATTAGTTAAATGATGAACTGATTGATTAATCAGAAAAGGAGGATTTTTGAAAGCGAAATGGTACGTGTTTGGTAGGAAGAAATGCGACGAGTCTAAGAAGTCGGCGTCAAAGGCCATCTGGTCGATTTCACACGCGGTGTGCTTTGAAATTCTGTCCGGCTTTCATTTAAGTGTGATAATACCACTCCACAAAATCAAAATTAAGCTTTTTAATTCAATAATTAGTTTACTCGTCCAGCAAAGATTTGATTTTTTCAATATTTAGGTTTTATTTGGAACAATTTATTGTTTTTTTTTTGTTATTTTTATGAAATTTTTATATTAGAAAACTGTTATAAAAATAGCTAAAAAATTATCTCAAATAAAAATTTAGACTTTATTTGAGGCAATTTTTTTATTACTTTTTATTTTTTATTTGTTTTATAAAAAATTTTTTTGTTGAAATGAATTTCAAGATAATATCTGAATTGAAAATTTTCATAATAAAATTTAGGATCACTCTAACTCCGATTTTGCCAAACTTTATACCATCATTGAATGTCTCAAATAGATGAAGCCAATAATATCAAAATTGTTGTGATCTAGCTCTACATGAACTCAAACCAATCATATGAATTATGTTTAGAAACATCTAAATAAAGATTGATGGACCAAATGATTTTCAATTATAGCATATCTATAGTCAAAACGGGCATCTCGACAAGATGAATCTAACGAGCCCAAGATCATTTAATTCATACGTCATTAAGGCATTCAAATGTTTGATAAACGATTTATAATTGATGGGATCAATATAAACAGTAAAATGCAGTGCTTTGAATACTAGCTAAATATGTCTAAATGACCATTTCAAAAAGTTTATATAAAGGGTCACCTCGTTCTCTATAAAAGGGGAGGAAGAAGAGCTGAGAGAATTAAAGAGGTCTCTTGCAATTTCCAGCAACCATTCTTGACGACCACCACTAACAATTACTTGCAATTCAACCTTAAGTTGGCAAACAAGCTATCAAGATCCCTTAGCAATTTATGTAAGTGAATAAGCAACTTCATGACTCCTCTAGGGAGAGTTTACTACCTCAATTATAAGAGTTGTGATACAGAAAATCTTAGTAAAAATGGTCCTTAGACATAACTATTTTAGTTTGTTAGCTGTTTCTAGATACTTCTAGATTTTTCTAAGTTTTTCTACGTGATTAGTATAAATAGAATGGTTCTAAGAAGAGATATATGAATGAATATTTTTGGAATTCCAATAGTTTTTACTATTTAGATCCCTAAGAGCTCTTTGGATCTTATTTGCTCATGCCTTTTCAATGATTTCCCCATATTAGGGGTGTCAACTTTTGACCCGACCCGAACCCGATTCGGAAAATCCGGGTTTATGTTTGGCTTTTCGACCCGTTTGAAAAAGGGGTCGGGTTCGAGTTGACAATTCCGACCCGTTTGCAAAATCGGGTCAAGTTAGTGTCGACCCGTTTAAGATCGAGTCAAGTCGGGTTCAACCCGAACCCGACCCATTGACCGGAATTGACACCCCTGCCCCACATCAAGTTGAGTACATGCCTTCGATGATTTCAATCTTGAATTCATTGGATTCATCTCATTGAGACGCCCGTTTTGAATATAAGCAAGTAAAATGGGGAGATTATTTTGTCCTCAAATCTGCTAAATAACAAATTGGGCCAAAATCTCATATTAGGATAAAACTTTCTATAATATATAAAGTTTTTTTTTTAAATTTAATGGCAACCCACTATTGATCATCTCATTGCTAATAAGTTTATGCAATTCCAATGTAATAGTCTCTCTTCTCGATAATTCTTTTTGTAAATATATATATTTAACATTAGAAATATAATTTTAAGATATATCGTAAATAAATTAATTAAATTTACTAATCTTCATTTATGCTTAGTATGTGGTACTGAGCCATTGTTAAATAAAACTGAACATAACATAAATAAATTTAGAAAGCGGAGAATAGCAAACCTAAAAGCTTTAGTAGTAGATTTTACTTCATTGGCATCTACTTGTAAGAATAATCAGAGTAAGCACGCAATTGCTGCTTGATCGGAGCCTCGGAGGGGTAGGGGGGTCATAATATGGTTAAATTATTAGGTGTGGTCATCGGAGTCCATTCAGAGATGAATCAGGACATATCACATCATCATTTGATGTGTATCTGTGCTATGTAACAAGGTAACGTGACTCATCCTAATTCGTTTCTGAACTGTCTGGTGACTGCACATAATAATTTCTCCATAATTTGAGGTGCCTTGAATGTACCGAAGTAAATATTTGACATATTAATATTTTTTCTTTTTAAAGTAACTTTTTAGATAAAAATTTTTTTGAACTAGAAATTTTTTGTATTAGAAAGTAATAAAAAAACTATCCCAAATGAAGCCTGGGATAGCCTTTTTAATAATTTCCAAAGTTGTTTTTTAACTCAAAATTTATGTACTAAAAAGCTACTTTAGAAAGCTCTAAAAAAGCTATCCCAAGACTTTGTTTGAGATAACTTTCATACTATTTTCTAATTAAAAAAATTTTAGAATTATAAGCTTGTGTAATAAAAAACTGCTTAAAACTAAGATAGTCAATGTTGTAATGGAAGAAATTTTTTGTTTCCTATCAAAATTGTGCCATCAACATACACCAACATGTATAATATTAGAGCTGTGATTATAAATGAGCAAATAACTCAAATAGGATACACAACATTAATGAAACCCGATCGCTTGCAAGCAGGGGCGGATCCAGCTTCTTTTTTTAGGGTGGGCAAAAAAAAAATTTTTTTGTAGGGGATGGACAAAGATGCTTAGTATTGATATAAGTAGGGCAAAAAAAATTTTTGAGAGGGGGCAAAATGCCCAAAATACTCAAAACATTTCAAAATTTCCCCTCTAAATATAAAAAAAAACAAAATTTTGATGCCCACCCTAAGCATGTGGTGGATCCGCCCATGCTTGCAAGTGTGATGTGACTTTTTGCAAATTACTGTCGAGGTGCTTGCTTCAACACATATACAATATTGCTTAGACAAGATACATAGTGTGGGTATTGAGGGTCTTTGAAATCTATGCTGCTGCTTCTAAACTGTTTCAAATAAATCGCCATGTAGAAAGGCATTAGAAATATCCAATTGAGTAATAGTCTGATAGAACAATTTCAATTAACAACAATAGTGACAAATATGTTGATAATAGCTAATTTAGCAACTTGACTAAGGGTTTCTGTATGATCAATTCCATATTTTTGAGTATATCTTTAAGCATCTTGCAGTGACTAGTGGTGGCTAGATCATAAGCTGGGTGAATTATTCTGTGCGGTCATCGTACGCATCTAAAGGTGAATTAGAGATGTCACATCACTCAGGTGTTGTGTATCGCGGTTGTGTGCCCACTGTATACTTGGTGACTTGATACGCTTTAATTCGCCTCTAGATGGAACGGTGTCTATACAAATTAAATTTTCCATATGCTGAGGGAATAAGGGTCACAATAAATAATAAATCATGTTGCTTGAATATCATAATATAAAATATAAAATAAATATATTTTTCCTTAATTTCTATATTTAGGGGAAGCACATATGTGCATATATATAGATGAAAATAATAAAATCGAACTCCATGAAGCACCGACGCCCACCCCTCTCCCTCTGTGCTCTCTCCGGTTATAAGCCTAGCCGAAGCCCGATTTCACTTACTTCAGACTCCCTATTCGTACGCCAAAGATCGGAATACAGCCGCCTCTTCTTCCCTCGCTCCATTGAGGGCCTAAGCGAGCTCGACGCCAGCCCGAACGTCGGACTCTTGCCCTAGCCAAATTCAAGTCATTTATGGGCGCGATGTCTAGGGTTTATTGGCTCTATACGTGGCATCTGGTGTTTGATATTTCTTCTTCCCTAAACCTTTGATTTCCTGCGATTTTCTTCCGTATGGCTGCAAATCGGTTTGGGGATCCTGGGTTTTTGGATGGCAAGGCGAAGTCAAAATTGTTTCATGATGCTTTGTCTGGTGATTCGCCTGGTTTTCCACCGCTCAAAGTTTCTTCTCATCGTGGTTTGCCTGCTTTAATCATTTCAGATGAGGAATTATTATCTCTTGCCACACCTTTTGAGTTTGCGTTGGTAGGTAAATTTCTGGACCGTCGTCCGCCTCTGAATTTTATTTGGAAATTCTTCTTTAATCTAAAGCTAGGTGGTACATTTTTTGTTACTAGCTTGAATCCTAAAAATGTGTTGATCAAACTAGCTAATGACCTAGATTACAGTAGGATTTTCTCTCACTGATCGTATTTCATTGCTAACTGTTTCATGAAGTAGTTTAAGTGGTCTCCCCTCTTTAACGTTAATGTTGAGTCAGCTATTATGCCTGTTTGGATCTCTTTTCCCAGTTTGCGTCCTCATCTTTTTTTACCTCGTATTCTTCATAGTTTGGGCTCTATGTTTGGTAGGCCTTTGCGTATTGACAATACCACTTCAAATGATACTCATCCATCTATTACTCGAAATCTTATGGAACTAGATGTCACGAAACGTTATGCTTCTCAGGTGTGGCTTGGCTCTGAATCGATGGGATACATCCAAAATATTGAAATGAAAGTTTTCCCATTATATCGCTCTCATTGTAAAACGCTGGTCCATTCTAAGGATTTTTGCCCTATTTTATTCCCTAAGATGGATGTGCGTCCCTCTGTTCCTTAATGTGGCTGTCGTGGAGGTGGTTGATAATCTTGTTAATGGACTGGTTGAGGTGGCGCTTAATGAGGGGGCAGCTGTTAATGATATTAATCTTAATAATAATACTATGACTGTTGTGTCTCATTTGCTTAATGAGGTGGGTCATGTTATTGCAATGTTGTAGATTTAGGTGATGGTGTTTCACATCGCGAGTTTTGCCTACTGTTGTCCTTCAACCGAGTGAGCGTTGTGTTGAATGCTCTTGGTGAGTATGGTGAGGGTTTGTATGACTTGGCTGCTCCTATTGTTGAGGAGGTGGAGGCAGATAATGGTGTGTTTCAGATGGATGGGTGCCTTGGTTCACTTGGGGTTGCGGATGTCCCTAGTGTTGTGGTTGATGTTCCACCCCTCCTGGGATCTGCGATGGTTGCTAGCAATATTTATGGTGATCATTTGGATGCTTTGGTCAGGATTCCCTCTGTTGAGGGGATTGATTGTGATGCTTTGGTTGATGTTCTTGTGGGGCTTATTTCGCCTAATATTTTTAAATCAAGGAATTTATCGCGAGCAGGGGAGTCCTATTTGAGACAAATTGATTGGTTGGATGACTTGATAGATTCTTCGTGCAATCTGGATGATGAATTGGAGGATGAAGTTTGGGCCTTACAAGGCTTGTATGGTTTGGATATCTCTAGGGCTTTGGGTCCCCCTTTCTCTCATGGTGGAAAATAGCGTCATTGCAAATCTTGGAGGTAGGTTTTCTCCTTATTTTGTTGATTTTGGTTGTCGGGATGTATCTCTATTATCCCTTGCTGCTCTCAGTATTTGTGTTTTGGGCTGGTTTGGAGTTCGTTTGCTTGACTTTATTGCCTGTCACTTTATGTTTTTGGTATTAGACGATGACGAAGCAGTTCTTCTGCATGCCTCGTGGATGTTCAGGCTTGGTTGCAACCTTGGTGGTCTTTTGGTCTTTGATTTTGGTAATCCTGTTGACCTTGGATTCTTTGTGTTTGGCTCTTTTTCCTCCATGGATGGCCCTAGCCTGGCAACCATATTTTGATCTGGTTGTTCGGCCTGTCATGAATTGGTCTTTCTTCTATCTATAATTTTCTTATATGTAGCTTTCTTCTTTGGGCTGTTGTTGTATTGTTTCCCTTGTTTAATGAAATTTTCTTTGGAAAATAATAATAAAATGATAAAAACAATAAGTATTATATATAATAATAATAATAAATACTGAATATTTCAACTATAATTAGTTATCACATATGATAATTTAACTATAATGACAATTTGATGATTAATTCCATATTCCCTAGATTTTTTTATCTTTATTTGCAAAAAAAAAAATCATCATCTTTACTTCAATTGATTGAGAATTATTTATAAGTTTTTAATTTGTTTGTCTCATGTAACTTTTTAGTGATTTTATTACTTATTATTTATTTATTTTTCATGATATATAATATCAAGATGATATTGAAAATGTTTATGTCATTATGCGAGTTAATGCAAAGAACCATTATTATTAAACTTCAATCAAGAATCTTACACAAAGATCTACGAGCGAGTCAAATTTAGACAAAAACTAAAATTGGCCATCCTAATCAGTGTGGATAAATTTGGGAAGACTTGTTCATAATTAAGCTAATATACTTGTCATGACTAAAATAAAATAACAATGATATTGAAAAGTTAATGAGTAAAACATTTGGTCCATACTCCATAGTCAATATTTGACACGACCCAAAAATTCAATCTGTATCAGACCCAAAGATTCCAGGTTAGCATCAATCTAGAAGTAAAATGGGTCGGATACGGGTTCAACAAATCGACCTGTTTCAAAAACCGAGTCGGGTTTAATTGACCCGAAAACCCAAAATAACCAGTTTTTTATCAAAAAAATCCTAATTGACACTTTTTTACCGAAAATAGTACCAACCCACGCGTTTGATAACAAATTTTGCCAACCCCAGGTTATTTGTGTCCGGTTGGGTTAACCCGATTTTTTGCCGGGTCGAGTCCAGCTTGTAAAATCTTACCCGTTTGCAAAAACGGGTCGGGTTCAGGTCGTATCGAACAGCAATGGGTCACTGTTGGGTTTGACACGACCCATTTTTGACACCCCTAATTATTATTACTTTAATTTTGAAAGACAATTAAAATATACATTTAATACTTAATTTTTTTCTTACATTTATCTTTTTTATAATGTTTATTTATTCTTTGCATAAGAATAATATTTATAATTATATAAATTAGAGTGCATTTATTTTATATTTATTTAATTTATGAATTACTATACAATAGTTATATAGGCCCATATGTCTTATTGCTTTATATTTTTTAACAACAATCATCATCAATATTAATATTTGATGTCTATATCAATACATTATGAATCTAAATGTTTACCAAGTTTTTTTCATTTGAAATAAAACAAATAAATCAACCTTCACACTATAAACAAAATTAGTAGCCAAAATGCTTATCTTGTCACCGTTATCTGATAGTGAAAAGTGCCCAACTGTATTGCTTTAGTTTTCTGAATAATAATTCAATTCAAATTCTATCCCCTAAAAATAAATAAATAAATAAATAAAACCTAGAGGGTTTTACATTATCAATTTAGGCCTCCTTTGATTGGTCGGTGAAAAAATTATTATTTTACTGTTTGTTTACCTGACTTTTTCAAAATACATTTTGCTACACCTCTATTTTCTCCGTTCTGAGAAGAAAAAAATTCTGATTCTTCGTTCTAATGCCTCTGATTCTTCGTTCTATGCGATTGATCATTGCACTCTTCACTCATGTAATCATCCAAGGTTTTGATCTCTTCTATTTTGAGATTGGCGACTCACAAGTTGTTTTTGTAAATAATGACGTAAAGGCTTGTGGCAAATTAGACGTTCAATCTCCTATTTCAACTAAAAATAAAATTATATTTGATATCGTTTTGAATGGTGGAAATTATAATATTGAGATTGGTCTCCACCATTGGATTCCTTAGTAGTGCTTTTGACTAGCTACTTGAGGTGTTCAATATTTTGAATTTCCATCAACATATTAGTCTTGGATTTATTTAAAAGGGAGCAATTAGGTGACCTTAGCTAAATTTATTATATATGATTTTTTGATTGCTCCTCCTTTCTTCGTTGGAGTGGTTGATCAATTTCGTATGAAGTTTTATGTTTGGTGGATGATTGTTTTAATTATTTTCAATGAGCATTGATAACCTCGTTTGCAGTTATTTGAGCTTCTACTTGATGAATGTGATTGTCGTAAGAACGAATAATCTCTTGCATCGGTTAAGAATAGAAAGGTCTAGGGTGTAGATTTCCAAGGAAAACACCTCTTTGTAATTTCATATCTACTCCAAAAATTTGACTTACTTTAGAATAATTTTTTTAAAGTACTCTTTTTGGCGTTTCTCCCTCATTTTGACAGATCCAGGAAAGATGGGTGGAGTTTTTGATGATTCCTCGAATGGTGATGAATTATTTTACAAAAAGCATGGCTAAATTAATCAACAAAGATATGAATTGTTCTGCCCGAAAGTGAGTAGAACCATCCGCGGGCTTATGTCTTAAGGACTAGGGTGCTTTCACCATTTATCTTTTGGTGACATTGATTGTGGGATTGATTGTTAGCTATTGAGAAAATAATTGTAGTATAGTGAGAATGTTATCTATATAGATGGTGTCAAACTGTTTCGTATTAAAAAAATTGAGTTGATAGATTAAAAGATATAAGTCTAAGCTTTTGATAAAAAATTAACATGCATAGATAAAATTTATAAGAGATTAGAATTTTTTTTGTAGAAAATCCAAAAAGAAAAAAAATTATTTGCCTTGGCACAATTGAAAAATCCACTATATAGTAGGAAATACAAGAATCTTTAATACCTCACAGTTGAAAAAGAAGAGTATTAATTGAGAACAAATTGTCTGATTTCTCTAAATTACAAAAGTATGGTTTTCAAAAGCGGACAATGAAATCTAATAATGGCGTTAAATCTTGATAAGAATTCGGACATGATGGAGATGATTGTTGGCGGTGGTCTTTAGTGGTGACGAAGTTAGGTGGCGGTTCTCGAAAACTAGTGCTACAAAATGCAATGGAGCTTTCTTCTTCTTTCAACACTTCCTCACCAGTTAAGTGCCTTAATTACGTTGGAATAAAGGATCATGGGCTCATTAGATTCTTCTCGTCGAATCACTCGATTTAACTATAAACATGCCAAATTTAGAGATGATACTTAATTTAATTCTAAAAAATTTCAAAACAAATATTATCTCAAAATTCGTGCAGATTATGCAAACTCTACATAAACATCAATGTTAAATATACGTTATTGCTTCATATTTTTAAAAACAATCACATTCAACATTCATATTTCATGTCTCTGACTTCGTTTGAGATAGCTTTAGACCACAATTTCTTTTACTATTTTCAAGAGATTTTTTACTAAAAAATAGCTTTACAAAACAATAAGAAAATCGTCTCAAACGAAGCCTTTATCAACACATCATTATTTACATCTCAATCTAAATGTTGACATCATTTTTTGTCCCTTAATCATTAGCGTGTAATTCATACACCAAGTTTTTTTCTTTTAAAACAAAACAACTAAAATCAACGCCATTCTTGTATGCAGGAAGAAATCAACCCTGATTCAGTCCATATCATCCCTCACACTATAAACAAAATTAGTAGCCCTAATTCTTATCTCTTCGCCACTATCTGATAGTGAAAGGCGCCCAATTGTATTGATTTAGTTCTCTGAATAATAATTCAAATTCAAATACAGATTCTATCCCCTAAAAAAAATAGAAAATGAGCTGTTGGCTATAGCACTCTCTCACTCATGCAATCATCCGACGGTTCATGATTCACAATGCTTATGATCAACGGTGAGATTGGCACCAAGCAAAGCCCCATTCCTCGCAAGCTTTCTGATCTCTGATCACGTCCATTGTTCATACCCTGCAAGCAATTAATTTATCATGATTTACTTATTGTTGTTTCTTAAAGCAATTTTTAGTTATAATATTTTAATTTTTTTATTAAAACGTTACTTTAAGAAGCAGTAAAAAAGCTGTCCCAAGCAAAGTCTTAGGCTTTGGCTTCATTTGGGACGGCTTTTATATTATTACTGCTTCTTAAAGAAGCTTTCGAGCACAAAAATTTCAACTTTTGTACTAGAAAGCGTTTTAAGAAGCATTAGTAAAACCGTCCCAAACGAAGCCTTTGTTTGGTGCTTCTTAAAGCACTTTTTTTGTAAAAAGATGCTTTAAGAAACAGTAAAAAAGCTGTTCCAAACAAAACTTTTATAATCAAAATTAATTTTCTTAAATTACTATAGAAGTTACTAAACTTGATCGCATGCGTTTACCTGATCAACAAGATCATGAGGAATCGATTCCAGATGTGTTTTGCTCAGCAACTGCGTTAAAATTTCATCATAATGATGTTTAGATCCACTAATTAAGAAGTTAAAAAATGCTTAAATCTTAATCATTCAAATAAGCATACCTTAATCCGCTCATGCATAGCCTTAATGTAAACTGAAGCCTCATGAAGCACTGAAGCAGTATCAGTCTGTAACAGATTTTAAAAAATAAATATAGTTAATTAGTGTAGTAATTAAAAATAAAAAAAATGCATACAATTTATAAATTTATTATTATTATTATTAATTTACCTTGCCAAAAGGAGAAACAAGCTTCTGTAGAACAGTTATATAAACTCCAATATTTTGGGTCTTCCTCCTCGCTTTTCTCACCTAATGAAGTGTTTAACATGCAAATAAATGTAAGTGAAAAATGGGAAAATAAAATTTTGAAATTAATTAATTGGAGCAAATGATTTAATGCATATAAGAATAATTATAGTAGTAATAATAATAAATTGAAATAAGAGTCAAATTTTTATCATTTTCTATTTGTTTAATTATACTTTTAGGATGATAATTAGTATCCTAATTAGCCAGTGATGTCTGAAATTTAATGATAATGAAAAACTATAATGTGATATTAAGGGAAAAAAGTTGATTGTAAAGTTATTATGTGGAAAGAACTTAGTTATTTTAGGGTTCATTTGTGACAGTTTTCTTAATGCTTTCTAAAGCAGTATTTTAGTTAAAAATTTTCTTAAATCAAAATTTTTTGTATTAAAATGCCGTTTTAGAAAACAATGAAAAAGCTGTTCCAAATAAAATCTTATTTTTAAAAAGCTGCTTTCCATTATTTTTTTTTTTGAAAATGCTATAAAAAAATAACAAGAAAACAGTAGCCAAACGAAATCACAGTATTAGCATGAAAAACAAATCAGCGAGAAAGCTATCCGAAATAAACTTAAGATTGTTGAGATTTAAAGTTCAACTGAATTCGTCTGGTAAACGAGCTAAAATTTTATTTATGAGTTGAATATTATTCATGAAATAAAAAATAATTTAAGACATATATAAATTATTTTTTAAATAAGAAAAAGCTTAATTACTTTTAGTGTTGGATGAGTGGTTACCATCCTTGTTGAAGAAGTGGATTCAAAGGAAGGCAAAAGGCAATGGAGTTCCTCTTCAGTATGAAGATGAGTCTTCTTCTTCCTCTTAGCATTTTTGACTGTAATTTCTATGTTCTCACTTTCATCAAGCATCCAACTTTCTCTCCTTTGATTGGCCTAAAAATCATACAAAATTACAAATTAAATATAAATACATTATTATTATTAGTATTTTCTAATATTTACTCACATCATTTTGGTTCCTTTTCGTAAGCTGATCAGCAGCCATTGATGAGCTTCTCTCGCCTGTTACTCTCAGGCCAATTAGCTTGTTCATTAATCAAACAAAAAACTACAGAGAAATTTGCAAAAATCTTTCCACAATTTGATATTTTTATAGAAAGAATTAGAGAACCTGTAAATGGTGGAAGAAAAGGATCTGGAGAAGATTCGATGCTGGCAATGTCGTGTTCTTGCCAAGAACTAAAGCCGCTGCTGGCAAAATCATTAGTGAAGAACAGACATGAAGTGAATAAAAAAGAGAGAGATTTTTGAAGAAAAATAAATGATGGAGATAAAAAAAATTATGGAAGATGATTCCTGTAATTTTGGAAATGTAATAATGTTAAATGATCTAATTTGAATTTAAATACGAGAAGAAATTATTTAAGGGGCTGATTTGAGAGGGAATTACTAGAGCCTATTTAAGGCTAACAATAGGATGATTTCAGGATTATGTTTAGAATTTGTTGAAATTAGAATTTCTTAGGTCGTGAGGTCTCTAGCTATCGGCTAGGGATTTGGAGAGCGGATATTCCTCTCTAATTGAAGATCCAACTATATATTGTTATTTTTTCATATATCTTGCCAAAAAAAAGTTATTGTGTGTTCTTCTTCCTAAAATTCTTGTGTCATTCTCTGATTTTGCTGAAATTGCATCTACTTCCTATCACATTAACATTCATAAACCTTAAGCATGTTTAAGAAAAAGTCTTATGCTCATTTTATGTGACATTGATTGCATGTGCTTTTTAAGACATTTTCCATTTTAAAATATTATTAATAAGTTATGCCAAAATTTGTGTGATTTGCACTATTCACAAAATAGTGCACACCATGCTCTAATCTATAACTCCAAAAAAATTCTTGCATCATAATATCATATTGCACCATTTGGTATTAGCAAGTATGGGCAATAAAATAAAAACAAAAGCTTGCCTTTTTATGTTGATACCTTCTCTAATTGCTAAGAAGCATTGCATCTTGTAATATTTTTACTATTACAGGAAGTTATTTCAATTGAGCTAGGTCCCATAATTTCTTTAATTTTCAGTCGGTGTTTCAAAATGGATTTTCAGGTCAGGTCGAGTCGAATCTAGAATTGACCAGGGTTCAAACGAGTGGACTCAGACTAACCCGATTTTGTAAACGGATCGAAAATTCAAACCCAAACCCGACCCGCCAGATTACCGATTTGACTCCACCCAACCCACGAATCAAAATATAGTTAGTACGACGAGTTCAGGCGCAAGCGGGCAAGGACGTAAAAGATGGCCTGCGCGAGGTGCGAGCGAGCGTCGAGCGCGGCCTACGCGTCGTGCGGAATCTAGACGAGAGTGCATGTGGGCTTGCTGTGGTGTGGAGCATTACAGGCGGGCGCGAACGATGGATCGAGCACAGTGGGAGCGCTGCAAGAGGGGGAAAGCACGAGATCCACTACAGACGAGGTTTTCGGGTCATTCGAATTCTCGAGTCAACCCAAACCCGACCCGATTTTAGAAACGAATCAGAAAATGAAACCCAAACACGACCCGTCTGGCAAACGGGTTGACCCGAACCGAGATTTTTTTGGGTTAGGTTTCGAGTTGGGTCAAGTATTTACACCCCTACTTTTCAGATATTTCACATATAAAAGTATATACCATATTACCATCTTTCTTCTCACTTTATTGCTCCTCTATGGGTTTGACAATTCCTAATGAAAAGAACAACCTTCATTTTATGGGTCTGATTTCTCAAACACAACAAAATTAAAATTAAATTCAAATAATGTAACATATGCTAAAACAGCAAGTAAAATAACTAAGGTGACCCACAATATGATTTGATGGATCTTTTTTAATGATCGTTCGAGCAATCTCATATTATTTCAGCTAATTCAAAACTATATGATTTTATGCGGACTCGCACTATTTCAGAATGTGTTGCTACCACCCAATTCCTCAATTTGGTTCTATGATGCCAGCGATTCACCAATCTGTTTTCCATTATATTAAACCCAATTCACAAAACTTTGACACTTTCTAAACCACAAGTATCATACTTATCCCAATTTTAAATGGGTCCAAGTATCACACATCACAATTTTAATGGGGACCGTTTAACGCTCAGACCCGAAGTGAGCCTGTTCTCTCACATTCAGTACTCGGAACAAAGAGTTGCTTATTTATGACTGGTGTGAATATGAGTTTCCAAATAAAAGCGCTTATGCACGAGGCACAATAAATTGTGATAAGTGACTTTAGCTCCAGAATGTCCAAGACATCAGAAGCCAACCAAATTCCAAAAGACTCGCGATAAACCAGCTCATTCTGTACTAAATTTGTTCACGTACTTATCTTATGGACCAGAAGCTGTGCATAATGTACGGCTGCTGGCATTTTACCTATTTCTAATTACAATTTTGCAATAAATTGAGGTAATAACAATTATAACAAAAAATACCAATAACAACAGTAAGAGTAAAATTATAACAACAACAAAAAAATTAATAAAGCAACGAGAGAAATTCAGATGGCGTTCATAAACTGCATTTGTTAAAATTAAATACTTCAGAACTTTTGATTCTCCAAATTGAAACAAAAAGAAGAACCTCAAGCCTGATAAGAACATCACGGTTACGTAAGATCCTTTTGTCCCACTCAGAGACTACTGCAGCATGCTTCCGAAATTTGGCAGTCCGTTCTTGAAGTTCAGAATTCCATTCCTTGATAATCTAACATAGATACAAGTTTATCAGAATGTCAGAAACGCATTTTACTGAAGCTTTGAAAAAAATTCATAAATCTCTAAAAGTGCATGCATGCATAATCTGAAAGGTTAAAAAGCCCAGACAGCATGAAACCCCACTAAAGGGGAGTTTTGATATCTACTAGGAATGATTTTTCTATTAACGAAACCATGGGACACAAAAAAAAGGCATATCAACAGTAACTGCAATTAATCTTTAAACCATTTTCACACACCATCAAGAATCAATAGCGCATTCAACGAAGTATTATTTTTTGCCGTTCAATCTCCTAAGTGCCATAATTAAAAAAGCCCAACGTAACTCTTTAAAGTTTGCTCTCACATTCTAATTTAGGGGATATATATATATATATATATATATAACCAGCTTGACTGATAGCCTAACCATGTATAAGCCCAATGGGGTATCAACTAGCCAGGTTGGTAAGGGCCTTAAAAGTTATTAAGATTTTAAGTTCCAACCTCACCTACATCAAAATAAATCTCATCCTGAGGACTTTGGAACGGGCAAAAGAATAATGTGAAACTTTGCCTAATCCTATAAGATAAAGAATTTTACTGGAATATATATATAGACACACAATTTTGAGTTGATTCAAATAAACATCTATTAGTTTTATGAAATATTTTATTTACTAATTAATCATATTTCTAAATATATTCAATCTTTTTTAATAATTTATATCATTAAAGATATTAAATATAAATGCATATATATTAAAACCTCATAAACACCAAATTCTGCAAAACATCCAACATAATCCTACCATTTGAAAAAAAAAATACTTAAAGCAAAAGAAAATAACAAATCCCTAAACAGCCCCTAGAATTTGAATTTTCCCTCTCAAATCTTTCTCAATTAAAATGATAACACCACAATTAAGGGGGAACCCTAAAACGATAACACCACAATTAAGGGGGCTGGGCCCCAAATGTTGTCCCCCGCCCGCCTGGAATAGACCAGAAACGGTCCAAATGGATTTGATTCAACTGGCTCCTCAAAAGCCCATCTAACACAAGGGTGGGGAGGATAATCTGCTAAAGCTAGCAGTAATTTAAAGTTATGGGATACACATGGAATACCATACGAGCAAGAACTTATATGAGAAAAAGTTTCTAGCACTCTATAAGAAGCCAGAACATTTTTTCTTGGTCTCTAAATCCCCTAATTAGATTCTCTGTTTTTCAATTATAATTTTTCATTAGAATTATTATCTTCTTGGAACAATTCATCAACACTTGTTCTTCTTGTTTCTTTCCAGGTGGCTGGAAAGACCAGCCAGATTAACTTGAGTTGAAGTCTCTTGGAAGAAAGGATAACATCAATTAGAGCTAGGCGGTGTGATTCTTAGCAAGCATTGGGTAAAAATTAAGACCTTGAATCAAGAAAGCCTCCCAAACTACGTTCTCTGTGGTTCGATTATTGATTAACATATTAGCTTGTTATTGAACACTTGAATACTTCTTTATCCTTGGTTATTGTTTAGCAGGATGGCTGGATTTGCTAATTGGAAATTTAAGGAACGGCGGTCCAATTGCAAGAACTCTTGAAGACGCCTGCCAGTTTTCAAAATTTTCAACCCTTGCAATTAAAATTCCCTGGGAAAGCCAACTCATGTGTACAATCATACCAAAATCATTGTAAGCATGATTACTATTTTAGTTTTAAACCTTCAGTCAATATGACGCCGGAGCTGAGCTGATTTATCCGATTAAACTTCAGTCTAGTTTTATTTCTTTTGGTAGCGTATATGGCTACATAGAATTAGCGCTCTCTTGTTTTGACTGTAGCTTATTATGGGTTACATTTGTCTATAAATAAGAGCCTTTACTTGTAATAGAGATTAGATTTTGAAATATGAATATGATGTGAGTTTAGTCTCATGTGTTTCCTGTATCCTAAGAGTGATTCTTAGGTGGTGGATCTTTCCTCCAAGAAGTTCTTGGAGCGGTGTCCGGCGACCGTCACCGGATTGTCGACGTGGATTCGTCAAGCCCCCTACCTGGCCGGTGTCATTTGGTATCAGAGCCGGCAAGATGCCGGTGATAGTTTAGTTCTTTTAATTCATCTGGTGGTTTTCTTTTTTTTCCCTGTGTGCACAAGAATCAGACATAACTTGTTCACCAAGCGCAAGAGGCGGAAGGTTTGAGGTGTCGTTGTTTGGTCGCGTGTGAGAAGCCAGTGGCAGGCTCAAACGAAGGCTTTACTTCATCCCGACATCAAACAGAGTGGCGTCTCCACAGCTTTGACCAACAACCTTTTCTTTGTCTTGTTCCTTGTGTGTTTCTGTACTCTTGTGTGTAGATTTCAAGACAACAATTAGAAACTGAATTCTTGTTGCTGTCCGGTTTTCAAATCCATCCAAGATTTCACCGGTTTTCAAATCCATCCAAGAAAGGTGAAATCATCTTCGGACAGCCAGATTTCATTGCAAAAGTTCTAATGCTATGTTATGTTGCTTTAATTTACGATGAGTTGCAAAGATATACATCGTTTTTGAATGTTCTGAATCACGTGAAAGATGCTATTCTTTTCTTTATTGCTGTCTTGAATTGGTTCTTGAAAAATATAACAAGATGCCTTCCCAATGGACATGGAAGGGACCATGTCAAGATGAAGAACTTGAAGATCTTCAACAAGAAATTATTCAACTCAAACGACGGTTGTCAAGGCTTAAACGAAGGACAGACTGGAGCACCCTTGGCCAAGACTTTGATGATTTCCAATCGCAGGACAATTATTCTTCCATGACGAATTCAAGATCCTTCATTCCAACAAAATCCTTACGAGCTGACGACGACGAGGAGGGCATTGCAGATGATCAGATCTCTTCGACCCCACCCTCGATCGAGTTCAACTTCGAAGAATTTGAAGATCCGTTGCCGAAATCGCCATCTTTGCCTATCTTTGATGAACCCGTGTATGACGTGTACGATGACGACATATCCGTAGGATTTCTTGATCTTGATCAACACATATCTGATGATGATGCGAGCAAGTTGGATGCATCTCTGGAGGTGCTTCAAGATGAGTATGGAGGATGGTTGAGCCCAAAAGTCATTGATGATTTCAAAGAACTAGCTAATGTATGCTTTACAGAATTTGATGATAAGGTTTCCTATTGGACCACCATGAATGAGCCTAACATTAACTCCTTCGTCTCCTTTGATTATGGTTTATTTCCTCCTCATCGATGTTCGCATCCTTGTGCAGCTGAGTTGTACAGGAAAAAATATCCAGAAAGATTTAGTCAACCAAACCCGCCTCCTTGTGTCAAATCGGATATCTCCCTATGGACCTGAAGTTCCTCCTACCCCGATAGTATGACGCCGGAGCTGAACCGTTGATCATGTTGAACTTCAGAGACATTTAATTTCATATGATATTTTGTATGGCTATATAGGTGTTATGCTTTTTTTTTTTTTGCTTGTGTAGCCTAGTATGTTGCTTCTTTTGGCTATAAATACATAGCCAACACTTGTAATAGGCAGATTTTGAGATGAATAAGAATTGAGTAGTTTTACTCTTGTTTTGGGTTTCTGTATCCTGAAGGATTTCAGATGGTGATCCCTCTCTTCCAAGGAGTTCTTGGAGTTATCCGGCGACCGTCACCGGATTGTCGACGTGGATTCGTCGAGCCCCCTACACCGCTCCAAGAACTTCTTGGAGGAAAGATCCACCACCTAAGAATCACTCTTAGGATACAGGAAACACATGAGACTAAACTCACATCATATTCATATTTCAAAATCTAATCTCTATTACAAGTAAAGGCTCTTATTTATAGACAAATATAACCCATAATAAGCGACAGTCAAAACAAGAGAGCGCTAATTCTATGTAGCCATATACGCTGCCAAAAGAAATAAAACTAGACTGAAGTTTAATCGGATAAATCAGCTCAGCTCCGGCGTCATACTACCAGGGTAGGAGGAACTTCAGGCTCATAAGAAAATGTCTGGTTGGCCACCATAAGGAGGCGGATTTGGTTGGCTAAACCAATTAGGATATTTTTTTCTGTACAACTCAACTACATAAGGATGCGACATCGACGAGGAGGAAATACATCATAATCAAAGGAGGAGGAGTTAATGTTGGGCTCATTCATGGTGGTCCAATAGGAAACCTTATCACCAAATTCTTTAAAGTATACATCAGCTAGTTCTTTGAAATCAACAATGATTTTTGGGCTCAACCATCCTCCATACTCATCTTGAAGCACCTGAGGAATGTCCAAATGCTGGAGTGTCACTTGAGGCTCCAGAGAGGCATCTAACTCGCTTGCGTCATCATCATATATGGGTTGACGAAGATCAAGAACTCCACCAAATATGTCGTCATCATACACGTCATATACTGGTTCATCAAAGAAAGGCAAAGACAGCGATTTCAGCAATGGATCTTCAATTTCTTCGAAGCTGAACTCGATCGAGGGTGGGGTGGATGAGATTTGATCATCTAAAATGCTCTCGTCGTCGTCGTCGGTTTGCAAGGATCTTCGTTCAATCCTTGACAACCTTAGTTTGAGTCGGGCGATTTCTTGTAGGAGATCTTCGATTTCTGTTTCTTGAAGTGGTCGTTGATCATTTCGATGAGGTGACATATTTTCAAAGAAACAATCACCACTCGGACTCCTTCCAATGCACTATTTCGTGGTTCTTGCTGGCTGGCTGGAAGGCACGTAATGCAGCAAGAAAAGGCTAGTTGCGGTGGATGAAGGATCCGGCTGTTTGGAGACTTTCAGACCTCTGGAGGTCGTGAAAAACAGGACAGCAATCGGACCAATTTAGGAGGCAGAAGCCGCTGTTCTTGATGTCTTCTTATGGTTTCCCTTGAGGTTTCTTTCTTCATGGATGAAGAACAATCTCCAGTAGGGATTCAAATGGGAAGCTTCACCTTGGACGTGATACCAATTGAAGTGAAATACCAATTTTATTTTTGTTTCACCTTGGACGAACCTCCAACAAAATAAGAAATACTCTCCTTGTTGATCTTTGCAATTGAAAGGCAATAAATGGCACCGTTCTGGAACAGGGGAAAGGCAAGAACGGTCTCCGGAAGAACAAGAACTATCATGTGGATGAAGAACTGCAGCCACCACACTTCTTGAATGCTTGGCGATTGTTGGATCGCCTTGAGGACTTTTCCGCCAGGTTCTTATTTTCACCACCTGAGATATTCTCAGGATACAGAAAACAGAGGACTCGTCAAGAAATTGATTTTTTTCTCCTGAATCAGAAACTAATCTGCCATGTCGGCACGCCAGCACCTTGCTGGCTCTGATACCAAATGACACTGGCCAGGTAGGGGGCTTGACGAATCCACGTCGATAATCCGGTGACGGTCGCCGGACACCGCTCCAAGAACTTCTTGGAGGAAAGATCCACCAACTAAGAATCACTCTTAGGATACAGGAAACACATGAGACTAAACTCACATCATATTCATATTTCAAAATCTAAACTCTATTACAAGTAAAGGCTCTTATTTATAGACAAATGTAACCCATAATAAGCTACAGTCAAAACAAGAGCGCGCTAATTCTATGTAGCCATATACGCTACCAAAAGAAATAATACTAGACTGAAGTTTAATCGGATAAATCAGCTCAGCTCCGGCGTCATTGGGAGCTTAGACTATCAGCTAAGAGGTCTTAGGATCAAGTCTTGTGTATGCCATATATGTGTGAATCCGTCTTAATTAGCCTAACTGCCTAAAAAAATTTACTTATATTTATGATATGTATAAATCTTCCTTATAAACTCTTTTGTATAAATCATACATAGGATATGCCAAACTAATAATTTCTACTAAGAACCACCTAAAAACCATAAATGCATAGCAGTTCATTAGAGATGATCTGAAACCATCCTTTTCGGTCTGTGAATCATCTCACAATCTCGAGTGTTGAACAGGTAAAGAGTCCAAGTGCGGTTTTTAGCTTATCCTGTTGTTTGGCCTTGATGAGTTTCTCATTCTAGGGTTTTGAGATGTTGGCGAGGATTGCGAGTCTGTACCCAGCGAGGTTGATTTTCCGGAAGCGAGATTTCAGCTCCGAGATATTCATTAGCAGTATGATTTCATCTAAGGTTACCATTTTTTTTATATTTGATGAAATGATTTCGGTTCTTTTGGGAGAAATCCCCGGCTGTGTGAAGTTCTTTTCAAGGCAATGTTTTTAACAAGCTTTTATTTATCTTTCAATACGAATGCGATACCTGGCGTCTTAGTAAGTAAATTATATGAAGCTCTTGCCGTCGGTGATTCTACACTCACTGAAAGTGAAAATGATTGGCTTTCTTGTTTGTAGGGTTGTCATATTACACCACTGATAAGGAGCTCAGTGATGCATTTTCGGCTTTTGGAACTATAAAGAGCGGTAGGCCTCATTAAGCTGCTTTGGTTTTGTTTTTTAAATTTCCCCGTGAGAAAGCTGCGTCCTTTCTATCTTCGAGTTTTTGTTCTTATGGTTCTCGTGGTCTAGTAAGGGCTTTATTATTTTGAAAGTTTCTGTTTCTTATCTTGCTCATTTTATGTTTTTTATTCTCTATAAGTCTAATATGATATTAAATACCAGCAAGGATTATTAGGGATCCAAGAACCAACAGGCCCAAAGGGTTTGGTTTTGTGAATTATGCAACTGAATTAGAAGCTCAAAAGGCAGTGAAGGCAATGGATGGAAGGGTAAGTATCTTTTAAGATGATATGTGTCATAGTTTTTAGCTTTTCAAATATTAATTACAGTTTGAGTATCCTTTTTAAAGTTCATCAATTGCTTAAATAGCATCCTCTTATAATATGTTGGTATATGTTTTTATTGTAACGTATATTTTATTTCATCCCATATGGTAATAGGTGGTTCACTTTGGCAATCTAATTTAATTTCAAATCTTTGTCAAAATCTTTTGGCAGATTTTACCCATTAATTTTTGAGAATCTAACGCACTTGCAAACACTCATGCGATGCTTGGATAAGAAGTCTCTATTTGAAAGATTTGGTCCAAAGAAAAAAAAAATGAGTTATTTTAAGAAATGATATTTAGAACTGCGAATTTCAAATATATTTTGTGCGATTTAATAAATTGCATCCAATTGCATTAGAAATCCTAAACCTCACGATATCATACTTCTGAGATCCTTCACAAAAATTGTAAAACCGGGCTTGAGGCATTGATGACTGAATTGTGAAAGAATTTACTAGAGGAGAGTTTAGATGCTTCGACTAACTACCAAACCCAAGAGAGGAAGAGTATCAATTTCCTCGCATTTTTGTTTTGGATATTTGGTTAGGGAGGGATTATTATCTTCTTTATTTGTTTCTTTTTGAGAAATAACGCTCAAAGCTTAATGAGATATTATCCACTCATTGTTTGTATTCTAAGAAGATAAATTTGATCAGTTTTGTTTCTTCCTCAATTTGTTCTTTCCTATACATATGATAATGTGGATTTGTATGTGTTTGCTTACCTCGTGGATGTTGGTCAATTTTGACCGAACAACATAAATCTTGTTGTTCTTATTTTTGTTTGCTTTATTATTTTAATATCATATTTGTGTGTGTCGTGCTAGTTTTGTTTTTCCTAAGATAATCTATTGCTCTGTTAGGCACTCTTTAAAAGAGAATTTGGTTACTTAGTTGCAAATTGGTATCAAAACAGACAAGTTGAACTTGCAGATGTTGTTATCAATGCCTTTCACAAGCACTGCAAAATATGAATTTGAGAAATTGAATGAGGATAGTGATTTAAAAACTTGAAAAAGTGAAAATGAGAGCATCTGTGTTTGAGGAGAATCTAAAGGCTAAGGATTCCATAACTGGCACAAATGCAAAGCATAGGATGGATCAGAAAGTTCATAGTTAGATGGATCAGAAAGTTCATAGTTAAATAATTCTCAGTATGGGAGATGAGATAATTTGAAATGTGATAGACTAGATAATAGCATAAGAGATATGGGTAATGTTGGAATCGATCTCTACGCTACGAAGTTATGTATGGATCATCTTTATTTGAAGTAACTATTATTTACATTTCTCAAAGATGGTCAATCACTGCAAGAGCATTTGGATAGCTACAACTACTTTTTTTTTTTAGCAAATCTAAATGCCAAGATTGAAAATGAAGATATTACTTTGATCTTCTTATGCTATCTACCATCTATTTATGATCACATCATGATGACTTTGTTTCATGAAAATGATACAACTTTCATGACCTAAGTGAAGTTTACCCTTCAATCAAATGAGTTGAGGGCGTACTATGAGGAAATGTATAAACTTGGAGAAAGAAATGAAGAAAGAGGGAGATCAAAATCAAAACCTTAAAAAAAGTTCTATAACACTATGTAAGAAGTCTGCATGCTCGGAAGGCGACTAAAATTTATTACAAGGAAAGCTTAAGAAAAAGATGATCTTAAAGACAAATCTAGCTCCTAACAGCATTTGCTACAAATGAGCAAAAAGATGGATCTGATATAGTTTTGACAGCTATAGATTGTTTTGTTTTTTTCTAGTGATGATTGGATCTTTGATTATGGATATTCATATCACATGACCCCATATAGGCATTGGCTTTCTTCTTATAGAGTTATGGATGGAGGAAATGCCATAACGGGCATTTACATTCCATGCATGGTTGTTTGGATAGTGACAATTCAGATCAAAACATATCAGAAGCTATATTTTAGTATTGCTAGGCTCATGCAAGTGCTATTGATAAATGCATAAATGAAATTAAAATCAAAGTTTGAAATAATATTTGTACTCTTGATCTGATAGTTCAAGACTAAAAACTCAACTCCTCACAAAGCAGAAGAAATAGGTTGAAAGGGAAGAAAACTTCTTGCCTTAACAGTTCACACGACACAGGTGAAGCCAAAGCAACACTTGAAAGGTTGAAAGATGCATTTGCTGCGAGTTCCTGTTGTGACGAAACTTTCAAAACTCTACTTCTGACGAAGTAGTTGAAGCCGACATAGGGTCAAAAGGGAAGAAAGATTGTCACCTTTGCTTCAAAGAACTCGATCTGACATGAAGAAGCAAAGTTAAAGCAGGCTAAGCTGAAGCAATTTACATGGAAGTGAGAGATTGTTACTTTTGCTGAGGGTTGCCAAAAGAGGCGAATGAATTTCTTGAACGACTGGTTAAGCAACCCTAAACCTAAAACGATGCAGCCCCTAAATCTATTAGGCACCACCTGACCGAATTAAAAATAACAACAACAACAAACTGCGCCTCAATGAAAAAAAAGCATAAGCTTTATCCGAACCCATGAGAAGCCTAGAGGCCTCCGAGCTGCACCTCGAGCCGTATGCCTCACATGCCTTTTTAAACCATAGTTTTAAGGCAACAAATATATGGCTGAGAAAGTGTTAGAAAATTTATCTTGTAAATTGAGGTGACCAAAATTTCTACACAATTACAAAAGGAGAAGTACATGATGAGAGTGTCTTATGCTAGCATAGTTTGATAGTCTTCATTGGAATCTTTGATAAGTAATGAAATGAATTTAAGGTATCTATTGGGGATGAAGAGGAGTAAACATCACAATGATGAAACATACATGAAAATAAAAAGCAACAGAAAAATAAAAGATACCAGGATTTAATGTTGAAAAATTCAAAATAAGGAAAATAATCACGGAGCCACACCACATCAAAAAATCCACTATGAAAATTGAAAGAAACAAGTACAGATCTCTCTTCTCTCTCGCTCTCTCCTTGCTTGTCTTCTCACATGCATCCTTCAGAATGTCTAACATAGAGAAAAACAAGAGAAAGCCAAGTAAATAACCCCAAGGGATGCAATCCTTCAGAAAAACAAGGAAGAAACCGTTCAGCCAGTCTCGCAGTGATGCGACGCCAGTTTTGAGAGTTGCGGCGCTTAAACCTCTATCTTGATCCGCTGCGGCATCGTATCTAGCCCCGCACCCCCCAACAAGCATGACAAAGTTGAGGTTTGAGACAACAAAACAATCCGATTGATCAATACAATCAGATTACACACATAAAAGTATCTTAGATGCACTATAAGGTATGGTTTGATGTATGGCAGTGATATATTATGCTAGTGATGTTAACATGAGGTATCTTACTTGTATGTCTTTAGTCTTTCTAAGTGTGTCTATGCCAAAGATTGTATGCGACAGTCTGAAACTGCTAAAGAAACCATATGGCTAGTTGAGGATTTGGCTTTGCTCCTGGAGAGTTGGGCTGTTTTATTTGATAGCTAGAGTGCTCTTCACTTAGTCATATATCAGATGTTATATGAGAGGATCAAGCATATTGATGTTCTATATCGTTTTTATAGAGATAATTTGAAGAGAATAATGTTTCAATCTAGAAGTTTTGCATGGAGCAGAATCCTGCTGATTTGCTTACCTAGGTGATCGATGTCCTCCAGTTTAGGCAAATGCCTAAACTTGATTTATTTGTGTAGAGTTTGTTGAAGTCCTTTTAAGGCTTTGGGTAAGAAGGTTTTGGGAAGAAAATTTATTTATTTTCCTATCCTTAATTTATACTCCATAAATTTGATAGTGGTTTTGTATGTTCTAACTCAAAAATTTCACTCATCCGTCCTTCTGAAATGAATCCACGAATACTTTTTTGAGCTTCTTGGATTGACATTTTTTGATTTTTTACAGATCTTTCGTGGAAGATTGATCTTTGTGGAAATTGCAAAACGAAAACCACCTTGTGAGGGTGGTTAAAAATTGGCAAGTTCATTTGTTTCTTTTACCTCAAAAAAATTTCCTCTGCACCGAACCGTTAGTATCTTCATTGTTATAGGCCACCTCATGTTTTTAGGTGAGATTTAGGCTTTGTTTGGGGCAACTTCCCTTCGACTTTTTAAAGCAGTTTTTTAGTACAAAATTTTCAAGTTCAAAATTTTTTTTGCTAGAAAGTTATGTTAAGAAGCAGTAAGAAAACTGTTCCAAATAAAACTTTAGGCTGCGTTTGAGATTGCTTTCTAACTGCTTTATTTTTGTATTAAAAAATTGCTTTAAGAAGCAGTAAGAAAGCCGTCCCAAACGGATCGTTAGGCTTAGTTTGAGATGGTTTTCTTATTGCTTCTTAAATTAGTTTTTTAATAGAAAAATTAAATTTTTTTGTACTAAAAAATTGCTTTAAGCTATAAGAAAGTCGTCTCAAACAAAGCCTTAGCTCCATTTGAGATGGTTTTTTTATTGTTTTATGAAGTAATTTCTTAGCTGATTGTTGTGATTAGAGAACTGAAGAGATGAGGATATTTCCTAATAGAAATACTTCTTTATTAGTTTCTCTCAAAATCATAATAGATTAAGAACTGCTAATTGCCCCCTGATTGGAAATAGAGATCAAATATGAATGAAATCAAAATGAAGAAATTTTGGATCAGTGTAAATTGAATCAAATTTGGTAAGATGCATTTTTTAACTACCATTTTTTTAAATGAATGTAATAGAAATTTGAATTTTTAATGGAAAAAAATAATAATTTTAGTATATTCTGATTGAATTTTTGTCTCAAAATTATTGAATTTATTTTTTAGATAAATGGAATATAATTTTTATTGGTTATTCATATTTACTCATTTTGGGCAGTTTAATATTATGAACAAATTCAGTTATTATAATTTTCACTGTTTTTGTATTAAAATGGGCGTAGTTTAGTAGTTGCAGGCTATATAAAATATAACAATTATCACAATTTATAAGTAATATTATTAAATCATTTCTCTTATTTTCAGTAGCACATAGTGCTCATTTTATGCTCATCATTAATATTTGAAAACAAAAATTATAATTGTATGAAAAGTATAAATATACCCAACTGAAGTAGGGTTGGTGATGGGAAAGTTTTTATAAAATATAAAAATTATTACTAAAAAATATTCTGTTTAATATTTTTTCTTAATTTTTTAATTTGTTGATATAATTATTTTATTTTATTAATTAACTTAAAACTTATAATTAACAAGCTAATAAAAATAATTTTAAAGTAAAATAGGTTATTATGCCAAGTTAGAGTTGCTAGACGGTTGGATTTGGGTTGGATTGCTTTTAGGTTAGACTGGAATTCGATTATATATATATATAGGGGTATCAGTTTGGATTTAACTTGTAGTCATGAATGAGTTTATGAACCAAGCTTATCCGGCCACAAGTTTGAGCTCCAGCTCGACTAGCTTAGTCGGCTTGGAAGCTCGTTGAGGTGTTCGATTAATGTAAATTATTCATGAAGAAGAGCTGTTGTAGAACGGAGATAATCATCTAGATTTGTCGTCCTTTTGCTACGCTTTTGCAAAAGAGCCGTAAAAGTACAGCTAATATTTAATTATGAATGCAGTTTTGTTGTCCTTTTGCAAAAGCGCAATAAATACTCAATTATTTAGTAAATATTAAATATTTATTGTTCTTTTATTGCCTTTTTGTAAAAGCGTAGTAAAAACGTAACAAATTCGGACGATTCTCTCCGTTAGGTGTTCGCACAGAATAATTAGTCCAGTTGTAGGTGTTGATTTAGGCTTTCTTTGGAACAGTTTTTTTGCTGCTTCTTTAAGCAGCTTTCTAGTATAAATATTTTAATTTGTATTAAAAAGCTTCCTTAAAAATCAGCGAAAAAGCCATCCCAAACGAAGCCTTGGCTTAGTTAATAAAAATTCAGATCTCCAGGTTTTAACGTCAGTAGATTAGCCATAGAAACGTTTCAGATATTCCAAAGCGCTAACTTACATTCTTTACCAATCTATAAATACCAGTAACAACAATAAACTTTTTGAAAAAACAAAGCTGATAAGTCTTCCTTGCATTCTTTTTGGAATTTTAACATCAGCAAGATGCCCCATTATACTTTCCTAAGCAATCAAGCAAATTGAGAAAGGTAAATTTACCAGCATAAATGATATCTTTAGACAGGAACGGCTATTTCATTCCTTGTTTGCGTAACAAACACGAATGTTTCTTCCTTCAAGTAACTGAGCAAAAAAAAAAATGAAATCCATCATAACAGTATTAAAAAAGCATTTCAAGTCTAATGCTTAACAGATACGAAGAAGCAAAAGTGATTACTATGGCTTCCTTTGGGACAGCTTTTTTACTGTTTCTTCAAGCATTTTTTTGATTAAAAAATTAAAAATTTTGTACTAAAAAGTTGCTTCAAGAACAGTAAAAAAGTAGTACCAAACGAACCCTAAGTATGAGCATTATTACCTGTTGATCCATCTGTTGCAGAGCAGTGGCAGCCTCACTTTCATGAGAAAACTGCACAAATCCAAAACCTTTAGATTTCCCACTTCTCCTATCGCATATTACTTTGACTGGCATAAAGATACCTTCAGTCAGTAAGAGAACCATATAAATCATTATATGATGCCAAGAGAATACAAGTTTGAACATTTAGTACAATCACCTTGTGTAACTACTCCATGTGTACTAAAAGCTTCTCTTAGAATAGTTTCATTTGTGTCATATGAAAGACCTTAAGTTAAGCCAATCAAAATGATTAGGAATTAGGATCACAAATTATGTAGTGATGAAGAATAGGATAGTAGAAAACATAGATATTAATGTATATGAATAAATAAATGAATGATTGTAAGAACTATTGGCTTGCAAGAACTTCAAAGCTGATTCAACGAAAGGAGCAATTAGAATTTAGTTACGCGAGCCTTAAATATTGGGAACTGTCAACAATAATATCAATCATTTATCCCATTATATGGGGTCGGTAACATGAATCCTTTTTCTCCATTGTGTCATGGTAAGAGTCAAATTCTCATTTAAATATAATTAAGAAAGGTCATTTCTAATATTTTCTAACCGAATTTTTTTAGGTCTACCTCTACCTTTCTTAACATAAATCAAATCTAATACATCTACTCTCCTAACTAGGTCATCGGAAGGTTGCTGTTTTATGTGATCAAACCATCTAAGGCGACTCTCTCTAATCTTATTGCCACTGAAGCTACTCCAACCTTTTCACGATATATTGAGAAATGTTGTACACTTAAAATTTTCTAATAATAAATTTCTTGACATAAATGTTACTTTTTAACCAACTTTCAAGCACCATCAAGATAATGTATATTTGTTCAAGTGTAGAACCTGAATCATGGACATTCTATATATTAGAGGTTATGCAAACAAGTTTAAAAGGTGTTGTGGGCATGAATGGAAATGACACTCTCAAAAACTATGTTTAAGAAGAAACTTGTTTTGATAAATGGTAAATTATGCTTGTCCTCAACGTGCGAGGCAGTTCTTCAAGTACGTTGAGATTTTTTTAAATGAAAAATTTTCAACATCATTAGACATTACGCAACAAGAGTTTACTTAACTCCGTAGAGCCTATATGAGAGTTATTTGTTTTTGAACCTCACTCAACCATGATAGAAGACACCAAGATTAATGAAATACATAAAAATACATTAAACGCTTCATGCCTAGTCAAACCATCAACTTTGCTACCACTTGTTAGGGTAAAGATGCCCAAGTTCAAAATTGAGCCCAACACAATATACATGGACACTCATCAATAGAAAAGCAACGAGTAAGAGCCACTACTAGCTTATTAAGAAAATTCTTTTTTTCATTTCCAATGTGAGATTCTTTTCCCTACCATGTGTTTGTTAACAAAATACACCCTATATGACTAAGGATTCTACAATTTGACATCTTGCCTCTGTGGCCCTTTTACTCTACCTATATAACATACAAAGGAAATGTAAGCGATTTTGACATCATCATAATCATCATATTAGCTTTATCCCAAGTTTTTGGGGATACTAAACGCCTAATCTTTAGTATGTTCAAAATTTTTTTTTTAATCTTTTCACTTCCTAAGCCTAGTTTCTCCAACCAAAAAGCCTAATATCAAGCACAGCAACCAAGTCTTATTAGAATGAATGGTAAATAGACGGGAAGATAAATAGCTACCAGCCTATCACAAACCTCCAACAAACAATTTATTAGAAGAATCCCGTGCAAATAGTTTCCTTGCAGATAAGAGAGCCACTTTAGAGGAAACCCGTGCTCCCAGAACCATCGATAAGGGACTAACTGGCTGGCTGCAAAACTAAAGTGCAATGCGGATTACAATGTTATTTGAATACCTTGGGCTATTTGCTCATATGTAAAGTAAAAAGTAAAAACAGTTGTACGTTTGATCTATAGCTTGGATGATAAAGACTCCAGGCTTCTTAGACTAATTATTCTGTGCGGACAACGGACGAAGAGAATCGTCCGAATTTGTTGCGCTTTTACTATACTTTTGCTGCGTTTTTGCAAAATGCCAATAAAAAGACAACAAATATTTAATATTTATTAAATAGTTGAATATTTGTTGCGCTTTTGCAAAAGGTCAGCAAAAGTGCAGTAAAAACACATTCATAATTGAATATTTGCTGTCATTTTACTGTCATTTTTCAAAAACACTGCAATAGGATAGCAAAAAATGTAGCAAATCCGGATGGTTCTCTCCGTCCGGTGTCCGCACAGAATAATTTCTCTTTTGAGACAATTTATATGCTATGCTTTAATGTTTTTACTACGATTCTAATCATAAAAGCAGCTTTTTTAAGATATGTAAGTTATCATCCAAACAGACATTCTCTGCTTATTCTACCAAAAATAATTAGAAAGCTGTCTCAAACGAATTTGGAAAGAGGGGTTTCTGTTTGGTTGGTGTAATATTTATTATTTTCAAATTCTTGTTCCTCCATCATAAAACAACAAGAATGCACATCACTTAAGCAATATAATTATCCAAGCAAACTAGAAGTAGAGACATGATTCGCTACTTACTGTTTCAAGCTCAGGAAAGATTGTTCACGATTTACGTCTCCGTAGCTCTGACTGCGCGATGACATGAAATTGGAGAAAAAACAAAATAAGTCGGCTAATAATCTATTGAGGTAATTCATCAAACACCTAGTAAACAATGCTGGTGAAGGTTCATGTCAAAAACATTTTTTTGTCGGAAATTTCGATATCCATGACCAGAAAAGTGAGAGGTGTAAAGAAGGTAGAGAGGAAGGAGCGGACTCTTACCGCCGGCGATATATAATAGCAGCGGTTCTGATTCTTTCAGGCGGATTAAACTTCTCATTTAGCTGCTAATGTTTGATAAAAATGATTTCTTTAGTCGCCCAACATTTAAAAAAAAAAAAAACAGAAATTTTACTTTGTATGTCTCGAAATAGCTTTATTTAATCAAGAATTTCAACTATTTTTTTATTGAAGAAGGAAAAAAAGGGGGATCGTCTATGTGATATGTTGACATGTGACATCTTTAAAATTGTAGAACTTTATCTTTTTTTTTTTTTTTTAATATTAAAAACACATCACATACGCATGTTCCAATTCCTAAATTTCTTGATTGAAAGTCAAATATCACAACCAACGGATCAAAATCAACGCCCTTTAAATTTTTTTGGGAATATTATACTTGTTGTGTCATATGGCTGGTTAGATTACAACATTCAACCGTTATGTTGAAATTTAGTAACAAACGAAGATTGAGTGGAAACCTGACATCAGTTGACAGCCGGGTGGTATTGCGGTGAGAGCTGGTTGTCGATTGGAAATCCGACGTCAGTCGATGACCGAGCAAAAGTTTGGTGTCAGTCGGTGACCATGAAGAAGTTCTGGCTGAAGTCCGGTGTTAGTCGGTGACCGGGTAGAAGTCCAGTTTCAATTAGTGGTCGGGCGAAAGTCCGATTACAGTCGGTGGCCATGAGGAAGTCTGGTGGTGATCGAGGAAAAGTCTAGTGTAAGAGAACTCTAATTTCTCTAATTTCCTTCTCTTCCCTTATTGAGCCCCTTTCCATAATGAATGAGGGATTTATTTATAGTTTTCTAATAGTTGCGTAATCAGTAAATAGGAGAAAGATCAAGTGTAAGTTGTAAGTGTTTTGAATGGATGGCCGATGTTGATCCCATTGATCATGGACTATTTACTAGGCATTTAAATGTCTTAATGATATCAAAATTTGTTTATCTTGTGCTCATTGGATTTTCCTCGTCAAACTGCTCGATTCGACTATAAGCATGCCACGTTTGACAATCGTTTGACAATCAAATTTATGGTTTAAACTTTCCAAATGTGATTTGAATCTTCAATTTGGACCCATTTGGGCTCGGATTGAGTCAAATTTTGCGTCGTTGTGTTCGTATTTTTGAGACATTCAATTCGACTGTAAGTTTGGTGAAATCGAAATTCTCATGACCCCGGATTTAATTTCAGAAATTTTCAACTTGATTTTACTTGCTCCACCATCAAGATAATTTTGATGATATATCAAAACTTTTTTCCTTGAATATTTAAGCCAATTAAAATAAACTCTCACGCACATTATATATATTACTAGAATTATAATTTTTAATTAATAACAAAAACTCACAACCAACGTATCAAAATTATCTATATAATATTATATACCCTTTTAAGTAGCAGATTAATTTGAGAGTACCTGAATCCTTCAGTAATGACACTTGTCAGTGGAGAAAGGAAGTGAACCGGTCTTAGCCGGTCATCGTTATCGCCGGCGAATGTTGCCCGTATTACGGACAGCTCTCATTTCAGTCGAAGTCCGTTCATCCTCTTTGAAGCCTCTTAACTCTCGATCAGCTCCGTCATTTGGATTTTCAATCACCATCAAATCCATTCTAAGTGAGTGCAGAAGCTTTATCTTGTAATTGTCAGTCTGCGGTCCCATTCTCGGAGCAGCTACGATTTCATCGGTGCTCGGAGAATTCCACATCCAACGAGCGAAGCGGATCGCATCCTTGTACGGCGATCTTTCTGACATCGCATGAAACAGTTCTAAAAGTGGATCTGGCCGAGTTTGGCGGTCGGCTTGTTTTAGGGTTTTCCTGAGCTTGTTATTCTCGTTTTCGGCTTTTTCATTTGCGTGGCCTTCGTTTCTATTCGATCTAATAGTCGTCTGGAGTTTCAATTCCGGAACTGTATTCGAGTATGGATTGGAGGGGTTGACTGTCTGTGAGTGGCTGCTTTAGGTAAAGATTTCTAACGATTTTTTTTAATGGATCAAGCATTCCATTTTTTTCCATCATTATTCAAGAAATTATTAATATGGTCTGTTAATTGTATTGTGCATTTGCTTTTCAATCAAGAATTTGATTCTTCATTGACCGGTTTCTTACAAATGCTCTAGAAAGCTAAATGTCTTGAATGTCCTCCATGGACTAGCTGATTGAGCCTTTTGATATGCATTTGATTATTTTTTACTTTTATTTTCAATTTATTGTGTATTTTTAAGCAAAATCTTATCTAGTTATGATACAGGTCATAATTTAAAAAGTTGTATTTTTAGATATCTCAAACACTTAATATTTTGAAGGAGTTTTTACTATCATTCACCCAAATTTTTGTTATTGTTGATATACCACCCTAATAATATACTTCTCATAGATATGCCAATCAATTCTTATTGCCATTCTTTAATCTTAGATGACCTAAGTAACTTCAGAACATGCTGAGGAGTGGCCGACCTGTTTACTATCAATAATTGGATTCAGGCACAATTTTTGCCATGAAAGCTTATAAGCACAGACTGAGTTTCCTCTTTCAGGATTCCACTTGATCTACTTCTACTCAACTTGCAGACCTGATTGTTTTCACTACTAATGTTAATTTAAGAGCTAATAGAAATTGAGCGAAGTATTCTACTTAGATCAACAAAGATTAACCAAATTGCAGTTTTATAAGAGTTAATAAATTTGTATGTTATAAATGTATATTGTTTAAAAAATACTAAATGATATATTTTTTCAATAAAACTGTTCTTGTGATGCGGTCCATTAAGCTGAGCTGGCAACCTTTACACTTTTTGCTCATGTGGCCTTACGCCTCATATAACCGTTTATTACTTTTTCTGTTATGCTTAGTACCACCATACCTTTTTATTTGCTTTAGTCTTTTTTAGCAAATCAGAGCATTAGCTGAGTAATGCTTTATATTACTGTTTTCAAACGAAGAAGAAGATAGAATGAAAAATAGTCTTTCTACTGTTTAGCAAATTCCTTGCTAGCTTTTACTGTTTCATTGAGCAGGTTTCTCTTAGCTGTTGAAACACTGCTTCATCTTGCATGGATATTTTTATCTTATTTAGGACTGGATGGAAGCTGCCTGTTCTGATAATTCCGTTTCTGAAGATATTGGCTCAGAGTCAAATCTACCAAGTCTTAACAGCAAGGAGTCAAACACTGAAGATCAACAAAATGCCTGTAGTAATATGGAAGATACTGTTGAGATGGAGATTCAAGAGGAATGTAATTATTGCTCTGAAAACAAGGAAGATGAAGTACCTGTTAATGGAGTCCATCTCCAAGATTCCCATGCACAGTTATCTGAAATTGCTGCAACTTCTGATGAGGATGATTTGGCTAATTCTATGGAGATCAGTACTTCTATGGAATCTGGTTTATCTGTTTCTTTTGATGGTAGTGTGGAGAAGTGTTTGAGCAAATCTGCAACATTCCCTTCCTCTGAATTGGAGTTTTCCCATCCCTGTGAGGAGGAGATTCCGGCATCAACAACACATAAGCCTTCTGTCTCTGCCGCTGTCAGTTTCTCTTATATAATGCAGTTGATTTTTTAGTTAAAATTTTAGAGTTATAATGTTTGTGAGATTGTTCTTTATAATTTTTTGCACATCTCTTATGTAGATTAATTTCATATTGTGGTAATTTTATTGATTTGGAAAAGTTTTTTTTTTTTCAGTCAAAACTGAATTTAATATCACATAGAAGACTTTTTCTAGGCTGCTTAGTCTATCTAAAGATTCCATATTGCTAGCAGTTGCATATGGCGTCAACATTCTTTTAATCCATGTTTCCAGCTCATGAAATTTGTGCACCTTAGTGCTTCAAATTTTAATGATTTTGGGCAGTAAGCATGTCATTGTACCTAATCAGAGACTTTCTATATTGTTTATTTACTTGCTGTTTAGCTATTAAAATTTTCAATCATCAACCAAGCTTTGTCACTGGGTCTTCGTTTGGGATAACTTTCTTACTGCTTCTTAAAGCAGTTTTCTAGTACACTAAAAAGTTGCTTTGAGAAGCAGTAAGAAAGCCGTCTCAAACGAAGCCTAAGACTGTTATCTCAATATTGTTTACTCATTTCATCATATTATTATCTGTTTAATATGTTTCTTTCAGCATGATGATGTTTTATTTCCTTGTTTCGATATTAAAACAACAATATTCTCTCTCTCTTTCCACTCCACTTTTACTTAACAAAGATGGATCAAACAAATTGGGGTAGAACATCTTAGGATCTAGAATTTTGCATTCATGATATATAAATGGTAATCTTATGGCTTCAATGGTTCAATTAGTGTATGATTGCAAACATACAAGATTTCTTCATGCTTTTTCATTCAACATTCCAGCACTTACAACAAAGCATGAACTGCCATTTATGAACCTGGAATAATAGAAGAATTTTACTTGTTACGAAATATGCATTTTGATCTGATTGACCTGCTGTGTAGGCACCTTCCAACCTCGTCTCTGCCATGAAAGGAGGCCGCGCACAAAATGGGATAGCTTTGAGGTCGGATCTGCATGTAAAATGGGCGCCGGATGTCTATGATCCGCCCACCACAAGCTCCCGGCGGCCACAGTCGACGAAGCAGAGCAGCAATCACCCACGAATTAAGCCGAAGAGAAAGGATAAACACAAAGAAAAGCATCCTAAAGGCAAGAAGAAGCATGCGAAGGGGCATACCTGATGAAGAACCTTTCCCAGCAAGGTCAGTTTATCCTTCAGAAATTGTCTTTCTACTCTATGAAAAATATTTTGTGTTTTACTTATAATGTAACATCATGATTTGTTTAGTATATCCTTCCTTCACAATGTATCATGTTACAGGATTCTTTTTTGTTTGGTGAACCAAGATATTGTTAGCTTCCTTTCAGACGGCTTTCTTACTGCTTCTTAAAGTAACTTTTTAGTTAAACAATTGTAATTTTTATACTAGAAAGCCGCTTTAAGAAGCAAGAAGAAAGCCATCCCAAACGAAGTCTTAGGTTGGAAGATGGTGATCAACATCTACTAATGAAACTTGAAGGGAATAATAAGACAGGAGCTTCCTTCAGGTGAAAAATACTGAGGAAAATTAATCTGTGGATGTGGATGTTCTTTATATTCACATGTGTTAGAAATATTTTTCTTTCCACCCTTGAGCAGCTTCCTTCATTAGAATTTATTTTGAAATTAGTGATTCATATAAATAATTTATATTACACTAATTTTAAAATAAATTTAATAATTTTTAAGTTCAATTTAAATTAACAATTATATTAAGTAAATATGGTAGTTATTAAAAAAAAATAAAAATTTATGATGATTTGACAACCGATTTTGCAAGTAGATGTATCTGTCTGTATAGTACTTTCAAACTCAGCTCACATTGGTCTGTTGATTGAGAGATTTGACTACTAACTAAGAGGTCTTAGATTCAAGTCTTGTGTATGTGATATGTGTATGAATTTGTCTTAATTAACCTAAATGTCCCAAAAAAATAGATATAACTAGGATGTATTTAAAAGAAATTTTGAAGAAATAAACGTAGTTCGGCGCGGCAGGTGATCTTGCCACTTAGGTAGTGGTCGGCAAAGTTGCCCTCATCATGGAACTGTGCTTGAGTGCTTCAAGCACCCTCCAAAATGAAAAAAGGGTTATCAATAAAAATAATTATGATTTTTCTTATTAAGGTTTTGTTTGGGAGAAGTTTTTTATTATTTTATAAAGTAGTTTTCTAGTATATAAATTAGTTAAAAAAATTGTACTAAAAAATTGTTTTAAGAAGCACTAAGAAAGTTATTCCAAATGAAGCCTAAGTTAAAGAGGGATATTAGAAAATACTTTACAATTAAATTTTTTACATTAATGCATCATTTGGGATAATTTTTTTTTCTTTTTTGTAAAATTATTATATAGAAAGTAAATTTTTAAAGATGTTGTGTAAAGTAAATTTTTAGTACAAAAACTTTTTAAAATCAAAGAAAAAATATTGGTGAAATAGAAATTATGATTACGATCTAAAAAGTAAAACAATACAAAAGTTATCTCATTTTTCAAATAGCAATCACTTGGCTATTATTTTCTCTTTTTTTTTCTCATGATTTTTTTTTTTAAATTTATGTGATTGTAATAGGCTTTTTATAATTATAATAGTAAATTTTTTTTTTCTTCAAAATAAATTTACTAATAATTTTATGAAATGATGTAGCCCTTGCAAATATATCCTAAATTTTCTCCTCTGGATCAAGCTGAGATTGAATGGTTAAAGGATTTTGTCTATTCGTCATGAAGCAAATTAATAAAATTGCACTGCATATGCTAATCATTGCAAAAAAAAAAAAAAAAAAAAATGCTATATATGGCGTAAATAATTTTCACTTTGAGTTGGAGTTTGATTCATAGCTAAAATAAACAACTTTTCATTTAAGTTTTATTTGAGACTGATTTCTTATTATTTTCAAAAGCAATTTTTTAGTTCAAAAATTTCTTAAACTAAAAATTTTGATAATAGAAATTTGCTTTATAGAATAATAAAAAACTACCTCAAACAAAATCTTAGTATATTTTGCTTCATTTTGTATTCCAATCAAACACACAAATTTATAATTTTTTTTGTATTTGAAATTCTTTATGCCCTAAATTAACTCAACCAAGCAGCCCCTTAAATGTTCTACTAAAATATATAATTAATTTTTTAATGCTTAAATATATAATAATTATGATTTCTTTATTATATTTCTGTCACATAAATTCGATTTGTTGCACCAACAACAAATACAGGTCCACAAAACGACTCTGCGGGAGCAGTCCATCGGGCCGGGCGGGTTTTGAGCCCAAGCTCAGGCCCTCATCGCGTCTGGTTCACGCAAATCAACACGTGGCATGTCCTGATTGATGGACAACCATTTTGGCGGGCCCGCAGAGCGAGACTACAAAATATATACGGAACCACCCCTCCGACCTCCCTTCCGCACGGGCCACGGCCTTCGCTCTCAAAGCTCTAAGCGACCCGATTCTCCAGCTCCGGAAGGAAACCCTAGATTTTCTGATCCTCCTCCAAGCTCTGCCCGATCAACACTTACAACATGGTATTTTCGTTTTTGTACTATCGAGCCTTTAGATCCTGCAGCTCTCATGGACTCTAATCGTCCTTTTTAATAATCTATTTTTCTCCTTTTCTTCTTTAAGTATGTATCTTTGATCTGCCCGAGATTTCGCTGGATCCAGACGCATAACTCTTTCTGCTTAGTTCTCATCAAGTTTATGATGGAGCAGCTTAGTTGGATGTATCATTTGGATTTTTTTTTTTAATCTCTGACTTGGCTGTTTGGATACTAGTAGTATTTAACAAATCTTGTAAATCCAGATTGAGTAAATCTTGAGAGGCTTAAAACATGAAAGTTGTTTGGCTATTTGTTTTAAATCTGTTAAATCCTGCGAATGATGGGATTAAATAAATATTAGATTAATCAAAACAGCGGAATTTAAAGTCCTGGAAATTGTGTTTGACAAGATTTAAGGTAAATTTAGCTTAAATCTACCAAACCACCCTTTCGTTTTTTTTTTTGCTCTTTTAATGGTCTTGTGTTCTCATTTTAATGATTTGGGGAGATGAATCGGGTAACTTTGTTGCAAATCGGGAATTGCGTAGCTTGTATAAAATTGCAAAGTTAGTTCGTAGGTTTTCTTTTGCAATAAAAAAAGAGTTCATCTGTTGTTTTTTCCCAGGGTTGTGTTTCTTAAATTAACTCATTATGTTCTAACTTAACCAACAACTTGAGTGCTATTTTGTCATTGAATACATTTTTTGTATATTTTTTCCTGAGAATTCATTGTATGTTCCTCTATTTACTACTGTTGCGTCATAATCCATGTACCATAAATTTAATCTAAGATGTATTCGGGTGAAAGTTCAACCATTAATCAGTGTTAATTAGAATTTTCCTTCTAACGGATGTGCTGCATTTTTATTTTTTGTATGGTGAAATCTCAGGCCAATTCAGCTTCAGGAATGGCCGTGAATGACGACTGCAAGTTGAAGTTCCTTGAATTGAAAGCAAAGAGAACCCACCGTTTCATAATTTACAAGATTGATGAGAAGCTCAAGCAGATTATTGTGGAGAAGCTTGGAGAACCTTCTTTGAATTATGAGGATTTCACCACCAATCTTCCACCAAATGAATGTCGCTATGCCATTTACGATTTTGATTTTTTCACCGAGGAAAATGTCCCTAAAAGCAAGATCTTTTTCATAGCCTGGTAAGCTCTCTCTTCTTTCATAATTACTTTACCTCATAATGCTTGTTCCTCGACCTTTTTTCCTTGTTTTCTACTCTGTTTTTATGCATATTTTATGAAGGTCTCCTGACACATCTAAAGTGAGAAGTAAGATGCTTTATGCAAGCTCCAAAGAAAGCTTCAAGAGGGAGCTGGATGGGATCCAGGTGGAGTTGCAAGCAACTGATCCATCTGAGATGGATCTTGATGTCATCAAAGGTCGTGCCAACTGACTGTATTCTGAAGTGAGAACATCATTGTTGCGGTCAGTCATCATTAATGAAATGATTATAGTTTAATGGTATTGTATCTTTTCGAGCTATCACAATATTATCTGCCTTATTTTCCTCTCATCTCTCATTAATTTCAGACAACCTGATGATTTGTTATTTGACTTAGTATGTGATATGTGCTTATACTGTTGTGGCTACAGCCTATTTGTATGCAACTCTTTGATGGATATCCAACTAGGTGAGACTTCTACCTAGTGCTTTATTGTGAGATAATATTCGGTGGATTCAGTTTTGCAATCACTTCGAACGTTTTGATGGGCTTGTAGCTTTTGGAAGATTGATCAATGATTATTGCTTTCAGAAATAACAAAATCTTTATATATTCTTTTTTTTTTTTCTTTAATAAATCACAAGGTGAAAATCTTGTTGATTGTTATGGGGGTTAAAGCTTCAGTAGCTTATGGTTGGTTACAGTCAAACTTTGTTGAGGACATGGATGGGAGTTTAGACTTGTTGCGGGCTAGAATATTCGTGGCGGTAGTGTGAGTAATAGCGATGCACGGATATCCAACACAACCAGAGAGAGAGAGAGAGAGAGAGAGAGAGAGAGAGAGAGAGAGAGAGAGAAGTAAAACACCTATTTTTTTTAGGTGGAAAACCCGAAGAGGGAAAACCAAGGGGCCTCCCCCAGGTGAAAAGATTCTACTTAATTTGAGTGAATTACAAAAATTGACCTGTCCCTTAACCTAGAGATGGTTGAATTACAATAGTTTTTCTACATGTTTTTGCGAAGACACTTAACCATTATATGTAGGTGCATATATTGCTAAATGTTTTTGCAAAGACATATAAACATTATATTTTAAATTTCTATATTTTTATATTTTTTTAGTTTGAATCGATGTTCTTGAGCTAGTTAACAAATCAAACCCTAAAAACGGACAATAAATTTAAACTTACTGACCAACAAGTCAGAGGTTCACACCATATTGAACTCTTTATTATGAGGAAATTATTCAGTGGATGAAGATTTCCATTCACTTTAGACGTTTCAACGGGCAAGTATGTCTTTTGGCAGATAGGAGATCAATGATTATTGTTCTTGGAAATATCAAAAACCCTACATCATTATTTTTGAATTATTGCTCTGTTTTTAGGACTATCAGGGTTTCAGGTTTTCAGATCTTCAGTAGCATTTGGATGATTATAGTTCAAGTATCAGACCTTCATGCCCGTTTCCCTCTGCTTGATTTAGGCTTCGTTTGGGGCGGCTTTCTTTCTGCTTCTTAAAACAATTTTTTAGTTAAAAAATTAATTTTTTTTTACTAAAAAGTTGTTTTAAGAAGCGATAAAAACACCGTCCCAAACGAAAGCCTTAATTATAATAAAAGGGCTGGCTGATGAGGAACATCATTTGTTTTGTGACAGCATTATTCAAATTGTTAAGTAACATTAAAAAAAAAAAAAACTTGGATCAGAAAGTTGGTCTTAGATGGTTTGATCACATAAGATGTCGGCCTTCCGATGATCCGGTTAGGAGAGTAAATATGTTAGATCTAATCTATGTCAGGAATAGTACATGTAGACATAAAAAAATAAAGATTTTGTTACAAAGTGATAGGAATGATTTTTTTTTATTAGATTTAAAATGAGAATTTGATTCTTAATGAGAAAAATGATTAATTTAGCTGACCTCACGGAGTGTGATAAAAATTTGATGTTGTTGTTATTGTTGATTTTGAAGGCCAAGGCAATTTGCTAAGTTGAGCTTTTATATTGTTTAATTATTTGGCAGCTGCTTATTATTATTTGTTCATTGATGTAGATTGAGGCTTTCTTCGGGATGATTTTTTTTATTGCTTCTTAAAGCAATTTTCTAGCACAAAATTTTAATTTATATATTAAAAATTTGCTTGAAATAGTAAAAAAGCTGCCCCAACTTAAAAAAAAAAAAAAAGTTGAGCGCATTATTATGTGCCCCAAAGTTTTTTAAAAAAAGTGTACAATCAGGTCCGTGTCAAATTTATATATTACCCGTAACTGTTTAAAAAAAATGATTTTTTTGTAATAATAATTTTACAATTATTTATACTTAAAGATCCTAAGAATTGGAGCGTTAGTTAGTTTTATAGAATTTGGCGAGATGAATTCAATGAGGAATATATTACTTGATTTTGAAATTTAACGAACAATATTAACAAATTTTAAGCTATATTTTAATTAAAACTTTAAAAATTGAATTAAGATTATTATTATTTTTTAATTAATTAAAAGGCTTTAATCTAAAAGAAAATTACTGGTTGATTTTTTTTTCAAAAGATAAATAGTTTATAACACTCACAATATTCTAATAACTTTCAAAATTCTACATAGAATGATAAAAATAGGTTTAGTTGTCCTTAATTGATTTTAAGATATTTGACTTGGCAGAATTATACACAACCATTGTACATCTATAATTATATGCAATTTAAAAATAATGCTTAGACTATAGTGTCAAAATAAGGATAAATTATTATGGGCGAACATCGAATATTGTTCAGAGGTCAACTAAAATATGTCACATTATATTTTTGTTTGGCACTGGTGTTGGATACTTTTGGGTGCTATATGACATGACCCGTTCTGGTTGGCTTACAAACAATCCGATGTCTGCACAAAACAATTTATCCAAAATAAGTTCATTTGGACGATTTGCAGCTATTTATTAAAGCAACTAATGAGTTATTGTGGAAAAAACATATTTTTTGAAAGGTAATAATTGAATTATAAGTTGCTTTTTAATGAAATATATTATTTATTTGCCATTATAATTTTTTAAAAATATAAAGATAAATAGAATAATATTGTTACGGGCTAGAATATACATGACGATAGAGTTTTAACTATACATCTTAGCTTTGTACGGATATTCAGCTCAAACACAGAGAACACATGATTTTTTACGTGGAAAACCCTTGAAAGGGGAAAAACCACAAGGCCTAGCCCAGTTGAAAATGACTTCACTAGAATATAAGTCGGTTACAATGGGCTGATTCGCCTCCGAGGGCGATCAGATTACAAATAACAACTGTACAATAAAAGTTCGGGTGTCAGGTGATCGTCTCGCAGAACTTCAGGCCTCAGGTGATGGTCTGACGAACGTGAGGGCCTCTAACGAAGGTGAGGACCTCTGGCGAAGGTGAGGGCATTTGATGAAGGTGAGGGCCTCTGATTGTGGTATGGCGTAGGTGAGGGCCTCCGGCGAAGGTGAGAGCCTCAAGTGGTGGTCCGGCGAGGCTCCTACGGTGGTCTGGCGAAGTTCCGGCGATGGTCGAGGATGAGCTTCTTCATTCTCTTCCTTCTCTTCTCTTCTTCTCTTCTTGCTTGGGTTTCTTTTCAAGAGAAATAAGAGGTTTATTTATAGATTTTCTAGAGTGGCATGACCTGTAAATAGGTGAGAGATCAAGGGTAAATGGGGAGTGGTTGGATGGACGGCCGATAATGAATCCCTTGATCATGGACCGTTCGTCAGGCATTTGGAGGCCTTAATGATTTTGGAATTCAGTGATCTTGGGCTCATTGGATTCGTCTCGTCGAGCCGCTCGATTTTACTATAAGCTCGTCATATTTGGAAACCGTTTGGTAACTCAAACAGTGAATCGTTGGATTCGTATTTCCGAGACGCTCAGTTTGACTATAAGTTTGTTGAAATCAGAGTTGAGATGGTCTCCGAATTAATTTTAGAAGTTTCCAACTCGATTTTGCATTGAGATTCGTGCCCGATCAAGATAATTTTTTGATGGCGTATTAAATATAATTATTATAAAATAAATTTATGAAAAAAGTTAATTCGAAATGAAGCATAAATGAAAGGAAATATTTCTAAAAAATTTATACATTGCCTAAATATCTAAGAATCACAGCTCACAAAGTCATAAAAACGTTGACCGAAAATATTAAAAGTCAACAACCAAGAGGCGACCAATAGGAGTCGTTCCTTTCGTCACAACTACCTAATCATCTTCCCTCCAATAGTGTCACTGTTCAACTAATCAACATTTCATTACCCTAATAATTAATTCTAAATCGCAATATTAAACAAATCCCATACTAACGATATATATAATTCCATCTTTAATCGATCCATGTATGAATCAAGCCAGAAAAATCATGGCTTTCTTCTTCCTTACCGTAATCACTGAGCTCTGGGAAACTCTCCTCGAACGCCGCCCCTTGCTGGTCTATGCTGCCACGTGGACAACCTTCGTCGCCGCCACCGTGGCAGCCGCCTCCGTCGCGCCGGAGGTGGCCTTCGTGTGGGCACTAACCTCCTCCCCTTACGCGGGCGGATGTGGTGGTGGCGCTATTCGAATCCTCCTCGACGCGCCGCCCGGCGAAATAATATGTGTTCCAGCGGAGCTTTTTGGCCACACGGGGGTTGACTTCTTGGTACCGACGGTCTTGGCCGCCGCCGTCGTCGCCGCCGCGGCCTACGTAGTTCGAGTCGTTGGATTATGGGAAGCTGAGGATAATAGCAGCTGACCCCGATTCAAGACTTTTATTTTACGAACTGATTGTCAAGAAAAATTTAAGTTTATGCGCCCATAATATTTTTTTTTTAAAAAAATGAAGAAATATGATAATTGTTTATTTTTTTTCTCGCGGGCTTTAGCGAGGGGCAAATTATTACGTCCGGTCACCGAATGTTTGGACATCCCATCCGGTGATGCCACATCACCCAAATATACTAGTTCCCGGTGTACCCAAATACACTGGGTCCCGGTGTATCCAAATACACTGGGTCCCGATGTATTTTGGTGTCGTGGCGACACTGGATTGATGTCCGGACGAATCCGGACACCAAACACAATAATTTGCCCTAGCGAGGGGCGCAAGGATACCGTTGTGTAAGCAGACCAGGAGTTCGAGAGGAGGGCAAATTATTCTGTTCGGATGCTAAACAACGTCCAAATATCAATCAGAATGTGCCAATCACTTCCGCTCGGTATCGAGGCTCGATACTGTTGGGTATTACTGATGTGGCGCATTCTGGTTGATCTCCAGACGGTGAATTGAGTCTCTCCAAGAGCAGGCCACTTGATAAGGAGTTTATGGAGAAAAGGCTTGGGTGCGCAACGATGAGATTTTTTTTTTTTAATTAGTTCAGCACCCAAAGACAGGAGATTATTACGTGCGGAGATTGGACACATGTGAATGGTAAAAGCAAATTAAAAACAATGATGAAAAATACTATACTTTTACGTTTCACAAAAAAAAAAACCGAACGGTTCTGTGTCCGACCTCCGCACGTAATAATTTCTCCAAAAACTGACACAACACAACTCATACAAGAGACTCGAACACAAAACCTCTTAGGTGGGAGTCAATCTACTAACCAACAAATTAAAAAGAGCTACGTGCAGTGCAACAATACGATTCGATATAGATATTTTTTTTTTTTTTAAATTTGATTATGTATATATTTTTATTATACTAAAATAATAATAACAATAAAAAGATGTGAATAATCTCCAACATAATCTATTAGTTCTCACATCACATCGAGTGCAAGCAAATTTATGTTTGAGTTTTATAGGGTAATTCATTCAATATAAGTGTTGTTTTTAAATAATTTCAATATTTCAAACACATCGACAGAGTTCATTTTGAGAACGAACATATTATAGTTATTTCGCATGACATCATACTCATAGTCTGTTGTTTTTTATCATATTCGATCGAGTCGAGCACGAAAGCTCTTCTTTGATAACTTTAGTAATTGAAATGCATTGGCATAATTCACAATGTGATTCAAAGTTAATTCACATGACATTTAAAAATCTATGATGCACAAATACGGACACGGCAACACGGATACGATATGACATGGATACAAGAAATGAAAATAAGAATATTCGATGATTGGGTATAACTATTAAGTACGGACGTTGATTTGATGTTATGGATAGGAAATAAAAAATTTAATTTAAATCCCGCCAAATACAATAAATTATATTTAAAAAATAATAAAATATTTAAGATACGCATGTCCGACACGCATATCCAATTTGTATTTAATATTTTTTTAATCGAACACGTGTCGACACGTTTTCGGCACGTCCGACACGTGTCGTCGGAGGTCGGGTGAGTGTCGTGTCGGATACGGTGTCGAACACTGCACGTCTCTTTGAGGAGAAGTGTCAGTGCATCATAAGTGTCAACCAATCTCCAAATTAGAATTCGAACTTTGAGCTTAATTCTATAAGTTCAAGTTGGCTCATTAGCCAACTCATATATTAAAAAAAGAGAAAAATTATTATTCAATTATTAAAATAAAATGAAAATTTAGAAAAGAAACAACAAATAGCAACTTGATAATATTTTTAAATGATACTACATGCAAGCTAATCAATCCAGTCGAGGCTCACTCAAACTGTGGCTCGATAGCTCATCCAACTCGGCTCACAAGCTATTTATCGAGCCGTGCTCAAGCTAGCTCATAAATCCACTTGACTCCTTTACACCTCGCAACTAAGCAACAGATTGGGCAACACAATTATTTGTCTCACTTTACATTTATAACAGTTGGTTTCTATATTCAGTCATAAGGAAATGGGCAGATGAGAGAAAGAAAGCCTTCATATTCACTATATAACCTTCAGTCAATGAAGTTAAAAATATGTCATAATATTACTGGTGAAGCTCTACAGGTATACACAATAAATACTTGACGAAAAAAATTCAAGCTCATAGTTTACCAAATTATAAGTGAAAATGCAAAATAAAGAAATACACAATATAGTAATTATTATAACGAGGTTGCCTCAATTAAAAAAAAGATAAAAAAAGAAAAAAAAAAAAACTCACCTGGACCTCGTTTGTTATCCTCATCACATTACAAAATTGGAGAGGCAGTGAGGACTGAGGATGTCGGTTTCAACCCCATCTTCACATGCCAATGACTAACCTGTAAAAGAACAAAATTAGGATTCATAACGGCTATATAACGGATAGAACAAGCTTTAAGTTTGGCAAAATGATGATTTGATACCTGAGAAATGAATATATTACATAAAATAATGATTCTTTGTTTTGACTGCAACTGGTAGGAGAAAACGATCAAATAAATCAACGAATAAAATGACTAACACGCCCAGCTATACATGCTGTACTTCTGCTGCGCAGCATCCGTCCAGCCAATTAGTAATTTACAAGTTTATTTTAGACCTGGATAAAAGAAACAAATGAACCGTATGAAGAAAAATAAATTTGAAACTGCTCAAGAAGATCTGTTTTTTAAGGATTTGGCTTAGTAAGTAGTGTTTTTCCGTGATATTTTAGGCAGAGGCGTGCATATCTATTGATATTATGAGATTAAGTGTGATTAAGGTTTCATTTGAGACTTTCTTATTGCTTCTTAAAACAGTTTTTTAGTATAAAAATTTAAAAAATTTAATTTTTATATTAGAAAGCTGTTTTAAGAAGCAACAAAAAAATCATCCCAAACGAAGCCTAACCAATAAAATTGGCCTAGTACTCTGGCTTTACACAAGAAGACCAAGATGACGAGGGCTTTGCTTGGTAAAGTTCAGCTAATATTGTGCTTTTGTTGCGTTATAGAATATATACATATTCTTGCATAAAATTAAGAGCTATTCCATAAGTCAGTCCACTTGTTCGTAAAATATAAGAACAAGTGCTTTTAAAAAAAGGAGAATTTGAACGGGTGAAGCCTTAGCAACTTACCCTGCCACTCGCCATGCTTCTCAAATAGTCATATCACAGTGCTCGGCATTCATCATCAAATAACGAGAAGCCAAACTTGAATTTCAGCCAGTTTAGCAAAGCTCTTCATTGTAGCAAAATCAGATCTACCCTACAGGTTCGTTCATTAGCTGAAGGATGCCACGCATTTGGAGGTAAGGGTTCTCCAGCAACTTTTCATTGTTACACTGGATAATAGAAACAACAAAAGAAGCTGATAATTTGAAGCACTTTCTATCATAGAGGAACAAAAACAACGTGGCAAGCTTCAAGAAAGCCTAACCTGCTGTGCCTTGATTATGAGAGACTGAAGCAAGCGCTGGTAGTTTTCAGGCTCTTCAGTCATCATTCTCTGCATACACAAGATTGACAAAAGAATATGAAGTTGAAAATTACAACTGATTCATTTGTGAAAGATTTATGAGATACCTTCAGAAGAAATGCTGCAGAACAATATGCAACTCTAGAGTCTGGATCTTCCAGAAGTCCCCTACCAATTTACATCCAAATCAGAAACTGTCCACCTGTAGGACTGGAAAGCACGGATATGTGAAACAATATAAATAAACTACCTGAAGAACTCTTCACCGTCAACCTCTCTAAATGCTGCAGAATCAGCCGAACATTTACCAATCAGAAGAAGGAGAAGGGCGGCACGAATGTCTGATGTAGCACCAGGAAGATTTGCTCTGCCCTCACTGCCAACTGCAACACCGAGTGCAATGTCATCTGTTACTGCTCCAGCAAGTTGTATTAATGGCCAGTCGAACAAGGATGGAGGAACTCGGGCAACCAGCTGCATGGGAACAATAGCATGTCCACGTAAAACAAGGGCAGCCATTGATTCGGTCTCATGATTAAAGGTGAAATCTTGACTAGAGCAGATGCTTCCTGAAGACCTGTCAATTTTAATGTTTCCTGGTTTTGACAAACTTCGGGGGAAGTCTGAGTCACCTTTTTGAGTTTCATTTGCAGCAGGCAGTCTCAGACATAATTGAGAAAACAGAATATCGCACATCTGCTTGAAAAATTCACTTAAATCGTCAAATTGTGCTATTGAACAAGAAAAATGACATCTCTACCAAGTCAAAGTTGAAATACAGAATTTATACTTCCTGCAACAATCTAATTATCAATTGAACATGCATCAACAAAAAAATATCACTGCATCAAGTATGGAATAAAAAATTTTTGATTTGATAATTAACTATCATATGCTATGTCTGCCTTCGCCCCATCTTCTCATATCACAGTTAGTTAAAAATATAATACTCATAGCGCGTTTAATGACATTTTTTGAGAAAAATCCTCCCCAAATAGTTCATCCGCAGGCATTGATGAATAAGAAGAAGCACAGTCAAAGGTGGCAATTCAATGCATTCAGGCACACGTATACCAAATAAGAATTCAAAGATTACTAGTAAAAGCGGTCATCAGTAACACAGGATAATTCTTTCCACTTGATGGTGCAACTTAAACAAAGTGCAATGACATTCATCCAAAACAAGGGAAAAAAATAATGACCTCCATCTAAATGTGATAGACTATGTTTTTTTCATACATTACTAGAATTTTGTCCATAAACATGTTTCATATGTAACAAAAATATTAATTTCTTCCTTAATAGTCTTAATGCATAGTATTAGTCAATCTCAGTACTGATTAAAAAAAGAAGTCTTAATACATAGTCAATCTCCCTGTGGAGCCTGCTACCAAATAGTGATCAGGCAAAGCATAGGTTGCATCTCGCTCCATCACATCTCTGCTCGCGTCCCATACACCTACATGTTCATGTCCAACGCCTAGTCATACAATTTGCGCACTCCATGCTACACATTTGCTTCTTGTGCGACCCTCTATGCTCTCATTGTGTGCACTCGCATCACTGCAACCACTCCCTATAGTTTACCAATAACATTAATTGCTATTTTAAATAATGCAGTAATGCCTCTCAAACCACACCCCATCCTAATCACATTCATCACTCTCTAGATCGCATCTTCCTCTACTCCTTGTAATTGGCCCACATACACTTTAGCTTCCCATTTCCTCAGGCAAAATCTCATCAATGATTCGCACTATACATAATCATGAATTTCACCAGCTACGATCTCAATCTATGCCATCCAAAACTAATTTACAGTAACTTCTACCACTCTTTGGATAAACCTGAGCCTACACAACCTGTTTTCGTCCACAACATACTTTCAAAATCCCCCATAGACTTGGCGACTTTTCAGCACCCCACTCAAAGTTACTACATTTTGAAAATTAAATACATCATAGGTAAAGCTATTTTGGCAAACATAGTTTTGATTATAACATTTATAAAGATAAAATCCATAAGTCAATATTTTGATTAAATTTACGTTCATTGGAAAATCAATGTAATGCATAGGAACTATACCTAAGAAACTCCATATATTTTATAAGTTGAATTTACATTGCAAACCCCTCTCTGTCCCAGTAATGCCTTAATTAGTTATCCCTACTTAATCTTAAGAGTGAGTAATATTGCGAGATTACATCCTACTTATTGTGAATTGCATGCTATAAACTAAGACTGATTTGATTTATTATTTTCTTGAACTTAACATTAATAAAATCTATAACTAAAATTTGATTCAATATAACATAGACCCAAGGGTGCAATTGATTTATGGGACATTTAATAAAGTTAAGGCTAAATTTGATGAACTTAATAATAAAATAGTCTATATGATAGGAATGACAACATCTAATAAAAAACTCACAATGCCGAGCATATTTATCTGCAAAATGTGCATCATCATAAGAGTATGAATCAGTATAATACCTTACATGATTACGAATATATATCTTGAACATATGAGATCAAACATAGTATATATCTTGTGAGAATGGTAAGTCAATTCGTGCATGATCTAAGAGTGGTGGTCCACTGATAGGAAATATTGGAATAAACAAAGAAACAATTACTGAAATCAGAATTTCAGTAGCCTCGCCAAGCAAAATTTGAAAATTTAATAGAGGAAAAACAAAGAAAACACTCTTGATTGAATAATAGATGAAAGAAAACAAACAGAGTACAATGGAATGATAGATCTTCAATTTGAGAGGAAGATATAGCTCTCCCAATCTCTAGCTGGCGGCTAGAGCCCAAACAAAACCTAAGAACTCTCCAAATTTTAGCAATACAACATAACCTAACCCTCGGTTTACAATCCTCCTAAAAGCATAAAAAATATCAAAATACCCAAAATATTAATTTGACGTTCCCTCCTAATCCCTCCTAATTATTGCATTACTTGTGGAACCCGGCCAGCCCTAAAAGGGGAGGACTACTGTGGACGTGGGATACTTCCACCTAACAATACCCCTCTCCCAAAGACCCACCTTGTCCGCAAGGTGGGAAGAAAGCTCCTTCCTCGATTTCCTTGTCATCACAAATGTTAAGAACTTGAAGAGATCGTTCCTTACATCTGTGCCCCGGTGTATACCTCTCATCACATCTGAAATAGAGCCCATTCACCCTCTTCTCATGTAACTCCATTTATGTGAGCTTCTTGAAGTTGTTTCTAGGTCTTCTTCCTTCAGTCATCTCCTTCGGGATTTCCCAAAGAGTACCCAGTATCGGCTTTATGGTGCCAAAAAGGTGGTTGTCATCTTGTACGAACATCCTGAGCTATTGTGATGAGGACATCTACAACGATTTCGACACGTGTACCATCGGAGACGCCGGAGATCAACGGCCACGATCAGGAGTTTTATTTTGAGTCTTTTTTTGTAATAGTTTATTTTATTTTTACGGTTTTACCCTTATGGGTGGGGTCATTTTGATATTGTAGCCCCGAGGGCATTTATGTCTTTTAGTTTTGGTTCATTTTGGCCTATTTATAGGAGGCCTCATGCATTGTATGAGATGGGCTCATCTTTCCCCCAAGCCAAAGCATTTGAAATTCAAATTTCAAAGAGGCATTAATTGCTTTCTTAAATTAAGTCCAAGAAATTAGGAAAGTTCCTTAAATGAATTTCAATTCAAATTTGAAATTCAAAAAGCTTTCCCAATACTATAACTTAATTTTGGAAACCCCTCTTTGAAATAAAATCTGAATTTTAATTCAGATTTTCTTTAATGCTTTAAATAATGTGTGGGCCCCACTTAATTAATCATAATTCCCCTCTTCCCTCTCTCTATTTGGCCGGCCCCCATTCATTGGGTTTTTCTCTCTCCAATCTAGCCATTAATCCTTAATTAATGTCTCCACTAATTTCCCTAGCAGCCGCCCCCCTCCACACTATATTTGGAATTATTTTGAATATCAAAACTTCAGATTCCCTCCCAAAATTACTCAATCCCGCACACCTGTAGCAGAATTCCAGATTAGCCACATTCACTCCTCTCATCCGGAAATCTGAAATTGGATATTCCCGTGCCCCTTGCTCTAACCGGCCTCTTCCCCTCTTTAATTCCCTTTCCTGGGTATCTTCAAAATTGCTGATTTCGTGTTGACTGCAACTCTATTCCAGCAATTATACATTGCTGTTTGGTACCCAGCACATGCCCAAATTGAGGTCCATAGCTTCCAACGTCAAACAGCAGTAGGTCCAAGCTTTTCTGATTGTTTTATAGTGCTGTCCAAGATCTTCTCAAGCATTAAAACTGCTGACCAGCCATCTTGGGGAGCTCTCCCACCACTGACCTGCTGCCCACAAGTCCAGGTTGCTTCATCAGGAGCCATCGACGAATACTACCGTCCATCCGAGTGGCCACACTTGCACTGTTCATCAACTCCTCCCGCTCCGAATAGCTTTCCCGTGGACAATATTGTAAGCTCCCTCTTCCTCTTGGTGATCACATTAGTGTTGCTAATATCTTTCTTCTGTTAACCGCAAGAGAGCTTGAGTGAGGGAAACTCAAGGTGACTTTTCTAAATATTAACCCGCGGATTATTGTTAAAGTGCATTCGTCATTACTCGCATGTTTGTTATTGTTTTAAATTGTTGTGCCTAATGAGTTTATAACAATGCCTAAGCAATTTTGCAACTGAGATTTTATTAAATCATTAATTGTGACTTGTTAATCTTTATATCGACTTGCTTACTCCGTTGTCTTATTAATGCTCCGTGCAATTCTGAATTTGTTTCACATCATGTTGCCTCCAATCCCTCTCTCTAGGTGCCTCCCAAATCGTGAGGCCTCATCACTCTAACCACCGCTTGAATATCTAGTTTGAGCCATTTCATAAAGTTCCCCTCCAATACAGTCTTTGGAAGCCGGTCCAATTGGCTAGCCAGATGCTCAAATTGCTCAATGTATTCCACCACCGTCCCATCCTGCGTTAGGGCGAAAAATTGTTCATATAAGTCCCCTCCCCTGCTGGTTCGGAAATGTTCCAACAAACAGTCTTTAAACTCCCTCTAGGTTCGTATGGGACGCCTCGTATCCCTCCACTGGCATCATGCTAAATCTTTCCCCTCCAAGCACATCCCGACTGCTGTCAGGTTCTCATCCTCTGTCAACCTATTGAAGGTAAAGTACCTTTCCACAGGATAGAACCACCCATGTGCATCATCTCCCTAAAAAATAGGTATCTTCAGCTTCCTCACCCTCAAATCTCCTCTGTCACCCCTGTTTTCTCCAAAAATTTCTCATTCCCCAATGGTGCGGTTCCCCCCAATGGTGCAAATCATTCCTTCTCCACTCATACCCAAACATTTCATCACAAGCCCTCCATTCAAATTTAGCACCCCTTCGATTATATTCAGCCCCCTCCTTTCAAATTCGGCACCCCTTCGATCATAATCAAGCCATCACCTTTCAAATTTGACCCCTCTGTTTTCAAATTCAATACCACTCTGCTCATGCACAACCCCTTCTTGCCTCTCCCCATACCCTCTACCAGACTCCTCCCTAGGAAAATGAACTAAGGGAAGCATTCTCTCTTCTCCCTCCACAATCTCTGCCTTATAATCTTCCTTTGCATTATCGTATTAGGGTTTTCCCCACTTCCTTGGAAATCAACGGCTTCTCTCGCCTCTGACGACGTCTTTTTGGTTTGACCCTCGAACAACTTCAACATCTCCTCAATGATGGAAAATTTCCCATCAATCTTTTCATGGATGGATGAAATTTGACTTTTGAAATCTAAAATTTGAGTTCAAAGATATGAAATTTCAGATTTCAATTATCTGATCTCGCTCTCCAACACTTCCACCTTTTTCTCTACCATAGGTACCCGGTTCTAGGCTCCAAATAACAAAAACGGCCAAAAAAAAAAAGTTATGGTCTTCAAATAATAAGATCGGAGAGAAAACACAATAGAAATCAGCGAGGAAAACTTCTATTTCCGCCCAGAAAAACCGCTCTGATTTGAGTTTCCCACCTAATCCCTCCTAATTATTGCATTACTTGTGGACCTCACCCCCAAAAGGGAGCAGACTGTTGTGGAGGCGGGACACATCCGCCTAACATTCACCTATACGTTGTCTACTGAATTCTTCATTACTTAAAACTAATTATGATAGCGGAATTTCATTTAAAAGAAACATGAAGTTGGAACTTGAAGCATGAAATTATTAACCATTCAGGTTCACCTGCAGACAAGCAATTCACCTTTGGACATTGCATATTTCTTGGAGGTAATCTTGACCCATGTAGAAGCAAAAAACTAAAAAATAGCAGCAAGGTCCAATGTAGAAGTTAAATTTAAAGCAATGACACAAGGAATATGTGAGTTACTATGGTTGAAAATTTTTCTTAAAATTCTAAAGATCGATTAAAATGAATATAAAAGACTTTATAGTGATAATAAATCAGAAATAAATATTATAAACAAACATGTGCAATATGATAGAATAAATCATGTTGAGATCAAAATTTATTTTATTAAAAAAAATTAGAAAGTAAAATAATTTATATATCATGTAATTACAAGGGGTCATCTAAGTATCTAACAGATGCCTTTACAAAATGAATGCATAATTTCAAGAGATTATTGATAAGTTGGTATAAAAGATAACTATTCATTAGCTTGAGAGATAACGTTGGAAGGCATGCCTACATTATAGATCTTATTGTTGAACCCCATATTTTAATGACAAATAAGGAAATCAGTATCACATTAATTCATGACAATAAAATTAGGATCACATGGATTAATGCCAAAGATAGAATAAATATCCCACGAATTCATGAACAGCAAAGAAATCAAAACCTATTTTTTAAATTTGAATTTATTAGTTTAGCTATAAATATTATCTTGTATCAAATGCTTTTCCTTCATGCTCTTATGTTCCCCATACTAGATAATGCATTATGGATAAAATAACAAAAAATCACGGCTTCTATTGCAATTATATAAGATTACAAGAAATAAAAATCAACATCTAGTTGCGGGTACCTTCAAGATATTGAGATGGTCAGTCTCATTTATTAGAACTACCAGTGATAAAGCGCAACTCATTACATCTATAACAGCATATGCTTTCTGAAGTCGGATTTGATTTTGATCAGCAATTTTGTCATTATGGTTTATGCTCTGCAACTGATCTTCATCCAAACGTAATTTGCAATGCATTAAAAACCTTTCCAAGACAAAAAGAAAACCCTTTCGGATGAAATTATGTTTTGACTTCAGAAGGCCACACATGATAATTATAGACAACGGAGCTGTTGAAGAAGTTATATCCTGGTTTCCAGCATCTATAAAATGCTTCTTAAAAATCTCAATATTAGCCCATATGCTCCTGCCTTTTACCTTGCCGATTTCTAAGATTAGCAGTTCAACTAGCCATATATATCCATGATGACGATATGCTGCTCGTTCTGCATGAAGGAGAGAATGCAATGTTACCCAAGAAAGCCTACTTCTCAAGCCAATCTCTGCTACTCCAAGCTCATCTAAAGCAGAACTTGACTGGTAAGATTTCGTCAGTTGCATCATATCAGCGAACTCATTGTCAAGATGAGTGAATGCACCTAGGGTGTCATCAAGTTCCGAGATGATTTTTTCTGTGATCTATGAAAAGAAAATTATAAATTAGAAAAGTAATTATACGAAAGCCATGTGATATAAAGACCACAAAAAAAAACAATATTGAGGCATTCAATAATTATACAACAACAACCCCGCTATTGTCAGGTCTCAATCTAAAGCCCTAGATGCGAGTGGCATTAAATGGTCGACAACCAGCATAAAGTTTGTCAAATATTTATGACATGAATTCATTTCGGAGAAAAATATATTATGTAGTAGACCCCACGTAGTGGAATAAAGGCTTTGTTGTTGTTATTGCATCCAATAATTATATCAGACCTAAAATCCTGAAATTATGGGAAGCTAAAATGATGCAAAAAAGAATAGCAAGCGCATATAAAGATCTAACCATTGAAGAAAATCCTACTAGAATTTTTAAAGGGGGAAAGTGTGATAGTGATTGTGAACTCAGGTGATGAAGCTAGTCTTCATAATAGTGATGAAGATGAAATTTGGAAATGGCCAACTATCAATCCACGACAGATTTCAGTAATTATTTCGAAATTGGCATGCTATTTAGTGGGAAGGAGGAATTCAAAAAAGTTGTTGAAAATTGGTTTATTTGATGAGAAAAACAATCAAATGTATTGAGAATGATAAAAGAAGATGTAAGGTGGTCTGCATACGGCCTAATTTCCCTTTTAGCATATATAACTCAACACATCAAGGTAGTAAATCATGGCATGTACATGAAATTATCATAGCAAGACTTTGACATCAACAGTTATTGTAAAGTGGTATGTGAATAAAGTCAAACTCAATCCCCAAAGGAGATGCAATGTGTTTAGAAAAGAAGTGATGGATGACTTGAAATTGCATGTATCAAAACCTCAAGCCAAGAAGGCACATCAACTCATCTACATTAAATTGGAGAACAAAGAAAAGGCATTAAATTAGAATGGAAAACTATGTCATAGAATTAAGGAAATTGTGAAAGAAAATATGCATGAAGCAGGTTCTTGCATAGTTTACAAATCAGATGATAACAACTATGAGACAAGTACCATGCATGGAAGTCAGTATAAGGTCAACTTGAACTTAAAATCTTGTTCTTGTCAGAAGTGGAAGTTAAGTGGAATCCCATGTGAACACGCTTGCACTGCAATTCATATGATAATGAGAGACTGTGAGGATTTTGTTGTTAACTACTACACAACAGAGACTTATATGACAAGTTATGAGTGTAACATAAAGCCTTTGAATAATGTTAATGAATAGCTAATGAGTAATAGGATACAACCATTGCCACCAAAATATAATAAATCAAAGAGGGGAAGGCTATCGAAGTTGCGAAGAACAACTATCGATGAAGAAGCATCACATTCACTCTCCAAAAAGATAGAGAGATCCAATGTTAAACTTCACTGTCGTAAATGTAGACAAAGTGGACAAAACAACATAACATGTAATAAAAGAACAAATAGTGAAGAGGGACATGGATAAGTCCAAGAACTTGTCCAACCAATGATTGAGATGGCGAGTCATATCATCCCTTCAATTTTATTTACATTGATAATGATTTTCATTTAAAAATGTTTTTTTTAACTAGCCCTCAAAGTTGTTGAAGTGTCGACCTCAAACTAAACCTGTTTTGGAAGTTGTCACTCAAGGATCTTCAAATACAACACTTTTAGTATGTTGATTTTAATTTTTTTGTCATAATTGACTTTTTCTTTTGCTATATCAATCTAATCATTTTTTTTCTATAGGTTTACACCTCCAAAAAGAAAAAATTCCATTGAATGAGCTTTTTGAAGCGCAGGATATATCCAAATTTTGATGTTGGTTCAACTGCATGCCTTTTCAATGGGGAATGGAAAAGCCTTTAATTAAATGTATTTTTGCTTTTGTTTAGTGATTTTTTGTATGGGGGATGGACATACTTTATGTTATTATCTTTTGTTCATGAAAAGTTTTTTTTTAATTTCGTGTAATTGTAGAGCTTGTAAAGAAATGACAAATTTGGTTGCTTGTTACATACATAAATATTTTAAAAATAGTGAAATTAGTAGAATTAAAGTTATTTCTATTTTTTTATTAAAAAAAGTTTAATATTTTTTTTAAATTATAATAACTACTCAATCTCATTTATTAAATATTTTAAATAGAAATGACCAAATTACCCTCATATTTAACACCATCAACTTTATATCATTACATGGTAGGATCAAATAAGTACCATTTTAAAGAGTTAAGGGAATGATTCGATCCCTCACATAGAGTTGAGGGACCATTTTGGTCCTTTTCTCCTTTTCTATCACACAACAAGCCCTATGCATCCCTCTACTTTAACCATCTAATTTGAATTCTAATAATAATATACTCATTTATTTCACCATCTCTTTGAACAATAGACCTGATATATCTAAAACGCATACTCTTACTACTAAAATTATACTCAATGTATTAAGTTTTAGATCTACTCAAACAGAAACCTTTATACTCTAAGGTTGACCTCTATAATTCAAGTATACCTTTAACTCCCTCTCTAATCTTAACAACAACAAAAAAAAAAAGCAAAAAGCGTACACCAGGGTAAATTCTCTTGCAAATGTTAGTAAGAACATCCACGACTAAAACAAAAAGATATGAGCATAAAGCTGATCTTTGATGTAGTCCAACTAAAATAGGAAAATACTTGGTCAAACCTCCTTGTGTTTGAACATGGGTAATAGCTCCTACATACATATCCTTCATGACTTGAATATAAACATTATTAACCCTTTCTTTTCCAGAACTCTCTAGAGAACTTCTCTTGAAACTTTATCATATATTTTTTCTAAATCAATAAATATCATATGTAGATCCACCTTATTCTCTCTATACTTCTCCATCAAAGCTCTCAATAAATGCATAGCTTCCATAGTAGACCTACCCAGCATAAATCCAAATTGATTTTGAGAAACATTAGAATCATGTTATAAGCTCTACTCAATAACTCTCTCCCATAATTTTAAATTATAACACATTACCTTAATTACTCTATAATTCGCAAACTCTTGTGCATCACCTTTATTTTTAAAAATAGGAATCAACATACTCCTCCACTCATCTAGCATCTTTTTAGTCTTCAAAATAATATTAAAAATTTCGTAAGCCAATAAATTCTTTCATTTCCTATGCATTTCCACATCTCTTTTGGAATATCATCATGGTCAATAGCTTTTCCACACTTCATTTTTCTTTAAACCTCTCTAACTTTGATTTATTAATACGCCGATAAAAATAAAAATCTCTATTTTCATTTAGGGTACTAAGGACAGTAAATTCAATTGTTTTTTTTTTTTTACAATTTTCATTGAAAAGCTTAACAAAATATCTCATTCACCTTTGTTAAATACCCTCTTCTAATAATTTTTTTTTAATTTTCACCCTTAATGCACTTCATTTGAATTAAATCCTTACTTCTTCTATCTTTTGCTTGGCTAGCTTATACATCTATCTTTTGCCCTCAATATATAATTTATTATACAATCATTAAAAGATAAATTCTTTGCCTAACATCTTATTTTCTTAGGCTCCTTATGAAAGCCTTTATATCTTTCTCAACTTTTCGAGCTTTTATACCTAAACCAAGTTTTATAACAAAGTTTATTATTTTTTTATCTTTTATTGCACATTTTTATTCCACCACTAACTATTTTTACTATTATGAGTTTTTTCTTTTGATACTTCAAACATATCCTTTACAACATTTGTTAATATCGCTAGCTATTTTTTCCACATAACACTAACTTCCTCATGCGCAGTAAAAATCTCAAGACTATGAATCCTACTCTAAAAAATATTTTTATTAGAATTATGTAAATGCAGCCATCTAATCCTATGATAGCATTTTAATTTATTTTTTTATAATTTGCCGATTCATCTTAAAGTCCAAAACTAATAAGCGATATTCGTGCAAAAACTTTTAGTCAAAATAACTTTACAATATTTACAATTTAAATGATCTATTTTTCTTATAAGAAAATTATCAATCTAAGTTTTAATATATCCATTCTTCTGAGATGCTTTTCTCTATTCTTAAATAAGATATTAGCAATTACAAAATCATAAGCTAGAAGAAAATTTAATAATATCCTACTACCTTCATTGATTGCTCCAAACTCATAGCTACCATAAATGCTTTTAAAATATTTCATCTCTCTACCAGCATGTCCATTTAAATCCCTCCTAATAAAAGCTCTTTCTTCAAAATGTATCATTTGACATAATGAATAAATTTATGAAGTATATGAAAAAATAACAAAAAAAAAAGTGAACTCATGCTAGTTTTAAAGATGAATAAAAGTAGAACTTTAGGTCCATAGTAGATACCTCTTGAAATTTAGAGAGAGATGGGAGATATTGGAATGATTTGGTTAAAAAATCTTACCAGTGAATCTTGAAGTTTAAGAAATGTCAAAATTAGATAAAAAAATATTTTGCTATCAATATTTAAAAAGAAAGAAACATTTGCATTTATAATAATTCAGAGAATCAAGCTCTCAAGACAAAAGAGAGTAATGAAATAAACTTAAAAAAAAATGGATATAAAAAAAAAAGAATGAAGAAAGGATCTTCATATAGTTATTGTTGATCTTGAAAGACAAGCAAGCACCATCACATGTGATGTGATGAATATAAACTAAAAATGGGTGTTTCAAAATATAGTAAGTTATAAAAGATATGTATGATAAAGAATTGACTAATTTTCAGAGTAATAATAGGGGTTCGAAAGGGTTTGGAATCACAATAGGATCACATCAACAATGAACATTAAATTTGTAATTTTTTTATTGTGTATGAAGATTCTTACGAATCATCAACATTATCATTATCATTAGCCTTATGACAGCTATTTGAGATTGACTTTATAAAAATTCTCATTCTCCATTTGATGAGTATTATATTAGATGATTTTATCCAGTCTATCATTTTTTTCTCCTAAATCCTTCAACACTAATTTTATCTACAGAAGAAAATTTGTAGTTTTCTACCATTTGTTGTACATGACCAAATTAGTCAAGTCTATTTTTCATTATCTTATTTTAATTAGATTATACACCCACTATCTTATTGTTGTATTTTTCAAAGTTATCTCAAACCACGAACCCATATTTATGCCTATTTTCTAGCACACCGCTAGTGAAGATCCATATTTCGATATGCGTACGGATTCTCACAAAAATACAAACAAACACACAAGTTTGTCAAAGACTGGTTTATTTATAACCATATAAATAAAATGTAGAAAATAAATAACATAGCAGAAGTGTACCAGATCAAGATGCCCATGATTTGGTGATCTAGATAAGGCTCCGGAAATTGACTTCATTAAAATCTGTCCAATACCGTCCACGCCATGCTTAACAACAATATAAAATGCTTCAGGGGCATCTGCAAGAATAAGCATAGAAGAAACTGCCTGAACCTCATCAAAAGCATAAGCAGAAGCTCCAGAAATTAAGCGTGCCTCATTTATCTGGTGTAGCGCATAATCAAATAAGACCAAGAAGAGATTTCTCTTTTCCTCCTTTGATTTGGCCTGTGAATACTGCAAATTGAAACTATATAAGTACTATACAACTCCTACACATAGTTGTTGTAATTAGTCATAAAATAATATATTCAATTATTATAAAACTATCAACTAATTTGATATTTCATCAATAAATTACAAGGAAATTTTTTTGGAACAATGGCTACCCAAACCAAATAACATAATATACGGCTGTTTAAAATTGCTTAAAATGCTCCGATGCCGCGACTACAACTACATTTTACAACAGACATCTTAGGTTATCAAATGATGGAATATTTCGGTAAAAAATAGAATATTTAAGACGACATCTTCCATTAATCTTATCCTAGCTGTTTGTGGCTAAGATTTATAAATTAGAATATTTAAGAAATGCAGTACCCATTTCATGGAACTCATATATTCAATTTTATCCCAACTTTATCATTCTTAAAAAATCCATGTTCCAATGAAAATAAATCATCTCAAAACTACAAATATAATTACTTACTTTATTTGAAAATAAACGTAAATTTAACAATGAACCTAATAAAATAAGCTTTCTGCAATGTAATGCTCAGGTCCCAAATTAACTAACAAATATATCATTATAAGTAGTGAGTATTAACAAGACATTAAATAATATATGCTAAATATTATAATTTTGGCATGAGGCATAAATAATTTCCAGGTTGAAAACAAACCTCCAGGCAGATGAAGTCAATCCCTCCAAGAAGAGCAAGTTGTTCCACAAGCAGTGTGTGAGTATCAATTAGAGCGTCTTGAGTTCCATCTAAAGACTGGTATAACATATTTGTTAACATACAAATAAGCTTTTTGTGAACAATTTCTGCCCATGAATGCTCTCTGCTAATTTCAAGAAGAACCTTAATGACCTGTGGTTTCAAAAAGTAGCAAGTGAAAAAAAGGGGGAAAGAAACACCATAAGAGAATTGCTCATCTAATCACAAGTTAGAAAACATACAAAAACATGATTTTGAGCTCTGGTTGTCTTCACTATCTATCAATTTTTTTTCCTTGGCATCAATTACACATTTTTGTCTTTTTTTGAAAGTGGTAAGACTTTAGCTTATGATTTTGTAATTGGTAATACCTTAAAACTATGGGAATGAGTTATGGAGCGTAGGTTGTGGCATGATACTAATGTTTCTCAAAATCAATTTGGATTCATGCCGGATAGGTCTACTATGGAAGCCATACATTTATTGAGAGGTTTGATGGAGAAATATAGAGAGAATAAGTAAACTAGGAATTAAATTTGTTACCATTAATTTAATTTGAAAATTTTAATATAAATATATATCTGAATTACCTAAGTAAATTAACTTAATCATGCATATAATGTTTAGGTTATCAATTAACGAAGGACTGACTAAGAATTTAAGGAGCATTGAAGTGAGATTTGACCTTCAAAAAGAAAATGAGGTGGGTAATTAAATTTTAACTAAAACAATTACAATTCTCTGTTGCTTCATTGCATTTACGATCATAACATCTTGTATGTATATTAATAATTGTAACACTACCGTACATTAAAAAGGAAAAAATCAAAGGATTTTAATAGTGTGACGCATCTTGTATCTACCATAAAAACACCGAGCCCTGATTTTGGGGCTCCTTTTGACTTATACTTTCTTTGGGTATTCAAAGGCTTATCTTATCAGTTCTTAGATAAGATGGCATAAATTTGATGAACACCTATAGTTGGAGGGTTGTAAAATTTCTAGTTCAAGTGCTCAACAGGTGCGGACTTCAATCAACACAAGCTCATCGTTCATGCTTGTCATTTCTTTGGCCAACTTACTGATAGGAAATACTTGAGTTCGCAAGTAACCCTAAGAGAATACTTGAGTTCGCAAGCAATCCTATCACTAATTGGGAGAAAACAGCGAGAAAAATAAGCAAAACCTGGGCGAAGACAGCCCCAAAATAGTAGATTGCAATAAGGAAGCAAAGCAAAACACACAGAAAGCAAGATACAAGCGATCCTCTATTCGAGAGGAGGATCGTTCTCTCCCAATCTCTAGACGCAAGGTCTAGAGCCCTCAAACCTCACAAGACTCCAAGAGAAACTCAAAACTAAGCATGCCTCTCCCTTCCCCCTTCCTCTCATATTTATAAGCTCTCCACCGCTCACCCCTTTCCTAAAAAAAAAAAATATATTCAAATAAATTCAAATCCAAGGGGTCCCACACATAGGCGGCAAGCTCAAATAGGTAAGAGGGAGGCGGTTTTGAACCGCCTCCTGTAGGAAATTGCCGGCCCAGGTGGGGTCGGCTGACGCGGTTCTCCCTGAACCGCCTTAATAGGCGATTTCTGAACCGCCTTAATGGAACCGCCATATCAATACTGCCCTCCCAAAGAATGACCTTGTCCTCAAGGTGAAAACTAGGAAACTGTTGTTTCACCATCTCGTATGGCTCCCATGTGGCATCGTAGTCTGACAGATTCTTCCACTTGATCAGCACTTCTTTCGCTCCCACTTCTTTCTAACAAACCCCCATCAACTATAAGGGTTCCATAATCACCTCTAAATCCTCCATAAGTGTGGCCGGTAACTCTGAGCTGGCTGTATAATCCCCAATGGCTCTTCTCAGCCGTGATACATGAAAAACCGGATGAATAATCGCCGTGGGTGGTAGTTTCAGCCGATATGCTAGTGCTCTGATTTTTTCCAATATTTCATAAGGTCCAAAGTATCTTGGAGCCAGCTTTTCATTCTTCATGCTGGCCACTATCTTCTGCCAGTATGGTCGAAGCTTTAAGAACACTTTCTCTCCTGCTTCGAACTGGATGTCCTTCCTATGCTCATCATCCTATTTCTTCATAATCTGTTGAGCTCTCAGTAGATGTCTCTTCAATTCCTCTAACACACGATCCCTCGCCTCCAAGTACTCTACTAAAGAAACTGGAGTACTGCTACTCCCAAAGTGCACTAAGTGAGGAGAGTTCCTTCCGTACAGCACCTTAAATGGAGTCATTTGTGAAGCCGAGTGAAAAGAGGTGTTGTACCAGTATTCTGTCCAAGACAGCCACTTGGCCCAACGTTTGGGTGTCTCTGACACAAAACATCTCAAATAGGTCTCCAAGCTCCTATTGACCACTTCTGTTTGGCCATCTGTCTGTGGGTGGTAAGCAGTGCTCCTCTTTAGAATTGTCCCCTGTAACCTGAACAATTCCCTCTAAAAATAACTGAGGAACACCTTATCTCTGTCTGACACGATCGCCTCTGGTACTCCATGCAATCTGACCATCTCTCTAATGAATGCTGAAGCCACTGTCACCGCGGTGTAAGGATGTTGGAGGGGGATGAAATGAACATACTTGCTCAATCTATCCACCACCACCAAGATCACTGTGAAGCTTTCTGAACGGGGCAGCCCATCTATGAAATCCATGTATATCTCCTCCCAGACTCGTCCCGATAGTGCAAACGGTTGTAGTAGTCCCCCAGGTGACATAGCCAAATATTTGTTCCTCTGACAGATCTCACACCTTGCCACCATCTCTTCTACATCTCTATGCATCCCCTTCCAGTAAAGCTCGACTGCTAGTCTCTTGTAGGTTCTTCTGCACTCCTGAATGGCCCCCAACTGCGCTTCCATGAAATTCTTGTAGTAAATTTGGGATGTGGAATGAGGTACAGGGCATCACAAATCTTCCCTAGTACAGCAATCTATCCCCCTCTAATGAGTACCCTGGATGGCTACCCTCCTCTTTTAGCAGATATGACCTGATCATTCCTAGTTCTTCGTCTCTAGCACTTTCTTCCCTAATAGCCTCCCAGTCAAGTATCAAAGGAACAGATAATGCCACCGTCTGCAACTCCCCCATACATCTGGACAATGCATCCGCCGCCTTGTTCTCCACCCCTGGTCTATACTGAATCTCGAAATCGTACCCTAGCAACTTGGACAACCACCTTTGATGCTCTTCCATCACCATCCACTGTTACAGTAGGTATTTCAAGCTTCGCTGATCTGTTCTGACAATGAAATGTCTCCCAAGCAGGTAGGGCCGCCACTTTTGGATGGCCAAGACGATGGCCATTAATTTCCTCTCGTAAACTGATTTCAATCTGGCTCTAGCCGTCAATACCTGGCTGAAATAAGCAATGGGTCTACGACTTTGCATCAGTACTACACCTAGTCTGTATCCTGAAGCATTTGTCTCCACAATGAAAGTTTCAGTGAAATTTGGCAAGGCTAGGACCGACACTGTAGTCATAGCCTTCTTCAAGCTCTCAAATGCTGATGTGGCCGCCTCCCCCCATAGGAACCCGTCCTTCTTCAACTGTTCAGTGAGTGGCCATGCTGTGGAGCTATACCCCTTCACGAACCTCCTGTAGTAATTTGTTAGTCCTAGGAATCCCCTTAATTCCTTCAGATTTTTTGACACGGGCCACCTTATCATTGCTTCAATTTTGGACTGATCCGCTGCAACTCCCTCTTTTGACACCACATGATCCAAGTACTCTACACTGGCTTGTGTAAAGCAGCATTTCTTCAAATTAGCCCTCAGCTGGTGCTCCTACAGTACCTCTAACACCCTCTTCAAATGCTCCCAGTGCTCTTCTTCTGTCCTGTTGTAGACCAGGATGTCGTCAAAGAATACCAGTACAAATCGTCTGAGATAAGGTTTGAAAACCATATTCATGAGGGCTTGGAAAGTAGCTGGAGTATTGGTAAGGCCAAACGGCATCACCAGGAACTCATAACGTCCTTCATGAGTTTTGAAAGCCGTTTTGGGTACATCCTCTTCCTCATTCGGATCTGATGATAACCCGATTTCAAGTATATCTTGCTGAAGATCACGGTTCCACTCAATTCATCTAACAGCTCGTCAATGACTGGTATAGGAAACTTGTCAGGTATAGTTTCCTTATTGAGTGCTCTGTAGTCCACACAAAAAATGCCAGCTGCCATCCTTCTTTTTCACCAACAGGACAGGGCTAGAAAAAGGGCTGATGCTGGGTCTGATGATCTCCGCCTCCAGCATCTCTCTAATCAACCTTTCTATCTCATCCTTCTGGAACTGAGGGTAGCGATAAGGTCGGACACTGATGGGCGACACTCCTTCCTTCAACATGATGGCATGCTCCTGCTCCCTCTATGGTGGCAATCCCTGAGATGGCTGAAATACCTCTTGGAATTGCTGAATCAACGGCTGAATAGAAAGGGGTATGTCTCCTCCCTCATTCAATCTTGCTTACAACTCCACTAAATACCCTCCGCCCACCAACTGGATATCTTTCACCATCGTTTTAAGAGAAACAAGTGATTTGGAAAGCCCCGCGTCTCCCTTAATCACTACCTTCCTTCCGTCCACCATCAATTCCATTGTAAGCGCTCCCCAATTCACTTTGGTGTCACCCAAAGTTTGCAGCCATTTCATTCCCAGTATGACGTTCGTGCTCCCCAACTCTAGTGAAAGGAAGTCATCCCTCACCTGTATCCCTTGGATCGTCAGTCGTACTTCTCTGCAAATCCTCTGACTTTTCTCTATCTTCCCCATACCCATCATCACTCCGTAGCAACTTGTGTCCACCAATATTATTCCCAGTTGGTCTACGACCTATGTGGAAATGAAATTATGGGTAGCCCCACTATCAATTAGCACCATAACCTCACTGTCCCTTATCTCTCCCTTCATTTTCATGGTGTGATTTGTAGTGAACCCCACCACTGAGTTTAGAGAAACCTCAGCCAGATCCAAGTGTAGCTCCTCTTCTTTCTATGTCACCTCCTCACCTCCCTCAGTTTCCTTGTCATCGCAGACGGTGAGAACCTGAAGAGTTCGGTCCTTGCACCGATGTCTTGGTGTGTACTTTTCATCGCATCGGAAACACAACCCCTTTGCCCTCTTCTCCTGCATTTCTTTCTCTGACAATCGTTTGAAATTTCCTCCCCCCATTAACTCCTTGGTGGCATCTTTACTACCTCCTATTATAGGACCTCGAGATGCGAGATGAGTGGTTGTCATTCTATATGTGCCCCCGGTGCTACTATTCTTGGCTCCCTTCTCAAAATTTTTCTGATTTTCCACCAGTTGGGCTAACCTCGTGGCTTCTCCCAAGTCACGGGCATCAAGACCTTTACTGCTGCTCGGATCTCCGTCTTCAACCCTTTCATGAAATTTCCCTCCAATACTGTCTCTGAGAGTCGCTCCACCCTGCTAGCTAGGTGCTCAAACTGCTCCCGTAATCTGCTACTGATCCCTCCTGCTTTAGAGAAAAGAATTGCTCATAGAAGTCTCCTTCCCGATCGGTTTGGAAACGTTCTGTTATACAGTATTTAAATTCCCTCCAATTCCTGATCGAACTCCTCTGGTCTCTCCATTCAAATCACGACAGGGCTTTCCCTTCTAAGCATAATCCGGCTGCAGTCAGCTTCTCCTCTTCCGTCAACCCGTTGACAGCGAAGTATCGCTCCCCCTTGTAAATCCATTCATATGCATCTTCTACTTCGAATATTTGCATCTTCAACTTCCTCACCTTTTGATCCCCCCATTGCCTCGGATTCTTTCATAGTTTCCCCTTTTCTAAGTGCTAGGTGCACCCCAAGTTTCCCAGTTTTTTCTTGCCCTACCATAGCCCAAACCCCCTTCAAAATCCCCTCTTCTCCCTTCAAAATTAGCACCTCGACGGCCGTAAAACCCCTCATGGCGTTCCCAATCAGCCCCTCTTTGCTCCGCTCCCCCATAGCCATACCTTTCCCCATGTCGATCTCCTCTTTCCTCCCTATGGAAAGGCTCCACATAAGGTATTCTCTTCCCCCTTCCACGATTTCCACCTCTTTTTCCTCCTTACGGATTTAAGAATTGGTGTTCTTTGCTTCTAGGCCCTTTACTTCGGATGCCGGCGTTTGTGCTTGAAGCTTCAGCATTCTTTTCATCATATCCCAGAGATCGGTCACCTGCCCCTCTATGGAAGAAATTCTTTCCTCCACGGTTTCTTTAATGTGATTCATCTCTCCTTCGAGTCTCTCCTTCAAAGCATCGACTTTTTTGGCCGCCATTACAATCCAGAGTATGTCGATTCACAAAATCTGGATCTTGGAGTCAAAAAACAACAACTTCCTCCTTTTCCGGGCAAAAAACTGCTGCTGGAATTTGCCGAAAATAGCCCTCCACCGGCCCAAGACCTGCTCTGATACCAATTTGATAGGGAATACTTGAGTTCACAAGCAATCCTATCACTAATTGGGAGAAAACAGCGAGAAAAATAAGCAAAACCTGGGCGAAGACAGCCCCAAAATAATAGATTGCAATAAGGAAGCAAAGCAAAACACACAGAAAGCAAGATACAAGTGATCCTCTATTCGAGAGGAGGATCATTCTATCCCAATCTCTAGACGCAAGGTTTAGAGCCCTCAAACCTCACAAGACTCCAAGAGAAACTCAAAACTAAGCATGCCTCTCCCTTCCCCCTTCCTCTCCTATTTATAAGCACTCCACCGCCCACCCCTTTCCTAAAAAAAATAATATTCAAATAAATTCAAATCCAAGGGGTCCCACGCATAGGCGGCAAGCTCAAATAGGTAAGAGGGAGGCGGTTTTTGAACTGCCTCCTGTAGCAAATTGCTGGCCCATGTGGGGCCGGCTGAGGCGGTTCTCCCTGAACCGCCTCTTGTTCCATAGGAACCGCCATATCACTTACCTGGGAAATTTACCTTAGTGTTTTGAGCTCTGGAAACATGAGTTAGTGAGACATTCTAAATTTACTTTATGAGCTTGAGAACTCATTTGTGATGATAGGTCAATTGTAGCTTGTTGATTTAATAGATACCCAACACCTAAGAATTGACAAAAATTTGAAAGTTCTGAATCCTTATCAAAATTATAATTTTAAAGCCTGCCACCAAAGCCTCATATGCAATCTCATTGCTGATTCGAGGCCTAGTCAAGTGTATCTCATTATACCTCTATTTGGCATTATAAATATAAGACTTGGGCCTTTAAAAGATTTGGAGATTTGACGAGTTTAACTGATGATGCTCCATCAAAATGTATCTCCCAAATTTGGAGCTTTTCTTTCTTTTAGATAAGCAAAATTTGTTCAACAGGCAGATTATTATTGAGAAGTGATTATGTAAGAATGGGATGCCCAATGAGAAAGCCTACTAAGATTTTCCCTTTCACTATTTTTTAAGGAATATATATGAAATCAAATTGCAAGAGTATGATTGCCCATTTGGCCAAACAACCTGTCGACACTGGCTTTATCAGAAAAAATTTCAATGAATTGATCTTTGAGATCAAAGTCATTTTATGAAAAATCATATGATGTCCGAATTTCTGAAGAACAAAAATCAATGCCAAAAAATGCTTCTTAATTAGAGAATAATGCATTTTTTCGCTCATATTAATCTTTGACTGGCGTAATATGAGCTTGAGTTGTAGCTCATGGCTCAATAAGCTTGACTAATGATCATGTTAGCAGTCGGCTCACTTACACCCTACCCTTATCCCAACTCTTTAGGTTAATCCATCAATCATCTTCTCCATTCATTCCTTTTGAGAGCTACATGATGTGTTAATTCTATTTTGTGATTCAATTTGCAAATATTCTACCCATTTTATCTTTGATGTATCCATTTTCTTCCTAGTCTCTAAACAAACTACCTACTTTTTCTTTTCTTTTTTTGCTGTATCTTTTTTATTTACTATACACATATATACAACCTCATTTTATTTTTCAATATCTTATCTTTCATAAATGCTTCTCTCATCTTCCTTTAATATAATCATTTCCCACAACATTTGATGAGGGCATCAGATTTCGACACGTGTACCATCGCCGGAGACGCCGATCGACGGCCTTGATTCAGAGCCTTTATTTTTGATGCTTTAGTTTATTCATGACTTTTTATTTCATGTCTTTCCTTTTGTACCCCTATGAGGGAATTAGTACTTATTGTAGCCCAAGAGCATTTTCGTCGTTATGCATTTTATTTCTTGATAGCCTATATAAAAGGCTTTGTCATTGTACTTGAGAGATTATTGATGAATGAATGATATTTCTTGTGTGTTCTCTTTGTGAGTGCATTGAGATCTCTTTGTGAGTTCTTCGCTTGGGATCTCTTAGTGAGTTCTCTACGTTTTCTTTTTATTTTATTTATTTACTTTCCCTTTCTCCGCAAGAAGAGCTCCCCATACATCTCCCTCTAGTGTTGCATCCGACCCCTCCTTTGGGTTTTCTCGCCGCCGGCCACGAAGCCCACCTCCGACCGCCCTCCCCTTGCCGCCCCATCACCACCCGCCTCCCTTCATCACATGACATTTTGAAATCTGAAATTTGGGCTCCAAAATTCTTCCCAAATTCAAAAAGTTCTATATTTGGAAAGTTTGTAAGTGAATCCAAATTGAAATTAAATCAATTTGGATTTCATTAAAACTCATCCTAGTCATCATGTCAAGGTTGGAAACCTTTCTCCCTCTCTCCAAATCCTCCTCTCTCTAGCCATACCGCCGGCCCCTATCAAGCCCTCAAATTATTTTGCATTCAATCCCCTCATGTGATTTGAAATCCTAAATTGAATGCAAATAATTTTCCCTCCAAGTTTATTAAAACTGAAAAATAACTTCAGTTTTCAAGCTCCTCCCTTCTCTCCCCACCGCCGGCTCCCCATTGGCTTCACCAAATTTTTTAATTAATGCCTTAATTGCATTAATTAGGAATTTCAAATCCCATTGTTATTTCCCTCCCAAATTCATAAAACTGAAATCAAATTCAGTTTTCCAAATTTCACTTCTCCCATCACCCTAACCCCACCGCCGGCCTCCCCTCTTCTCTCCAACCCGCCGACCAACTAGCTCCTCCCTTGGAGAATTCTTCGCGGCGCTCGTTCTATCTCCCCTCAATGATGTATGGAGGAACCCGAGTGGAACTTCGGGTTTGAGTACGACAACCGTGGACGAGTTAACATCCTCAGATCTCCCTTTTTTGACGTTGGCTTTGACTTCGACGACACCGTCAAAGAATATCTGGACCGGATCCTCCCCGCTCTAGTGGAGTCCATCGAAGATCATTTCTCCATCTACACGTGGATCATCAAAGGGCGTCGTTACACACCACCTCCACGTCCGGCGCCGTCCTCTCCTTCCCTACGGATCTACGGCACCATCGCCCTCGGAGTGGTTTCATCACTTGTGTGGTTCTTCTTCTTCCAACAAGCCTAGAAGTAGGTAAATGAGTGCCGCCTCAAGGTGATACAATCTCTTTGTTAACCGCGGGATTCTAGTTGGCTTTTCATTTGCTTTACTTTTATTACCGTCGTTATTTTACCGATCTCGCTAATTTAGGCGTAAGCTCTTGCCTAAGCATAGTTGAATTCTAAGATCTCTGAAAAGTATCAATTGTGAATAATATTAAGCTTGCAATTTTCACCACTTAAAACAATATTTTATTAAGCTTCTAAATTCAATTCCTGGTTTCACATCAACATTCTTCTTCATTTAATTAAACATTCATCTTAACATTCTCATTAAAACTTAAAATAAAGTGTATATGACATTTTGAAACAATAGCCAATAAGAGCAACAGACCGGAAGCATCTGCACAATCAGCCATAACAAATATTCAGTCAACATGAATTATATGCACTGAACCAACTACCAAAGTTTCAAGACAACCATATACATTGACATAAATTAAAATTATCATGTTAATGCATGAATTAAAATTAAGTAAAAATTAAAAAATATCTTACTCTTATGTCAAGGCCATCCAACCGGCTTCTCAAAATTTTTCCTCTGTCACAGATGAAGTAAAATAAACTGCTTAAAGCCGACGCCCAGACAATTTCCTCCTTTTCTTCTGTCTGCAATTTGAAGCATTAACTGATAAAGCCATTGCATGAGGAAATATGATATTGCAACGAAACATGATTTGTATTCCAATCTTGCAAACCAAAAGACGCAAGAATGAAAGACATTTTTGATTATATAAGGGAAACAACTGGACAGTTTCTTCTGTATCAGCCAGACGAAAGATAGGCATTTAATTGATGCAATGCATCACTCGGCATTCTAAGACACAGCTGAAAATTCATCAATATATTTAAACTTCCAAATTCAGTGGATGAGATGAACCATACTTGGCAAACTCAGCTAGAAAATAATAGAAGCATTTCACAAAAGTAAAATATGCATAAAAATTGATGTTCATAAAAATTGATGTTTGGCCTTCATTTCTTGAAGAACTAGCTGGAACTAAAGCAACATAGGTAACAGTGACGTTCAACTCACATTTTTCATACTATTGTCAAAGAGTTTCGGGAAGAACAAGAGGTAAAAAATGATAAATATTGATACTACTTTACAACAAGATCACCAATAACAACATTCAATATTCAAAAGCATCCCAGGTAGGTGTCCTCTGGTGGACAATTGAGGCCAATTTTGATCATGTGGGGAACTCTACTTTGTTGACCACTGGTGGATACTATCCAAGGATAAGGACATTTGAAGTGTGACAAAGAGACATTAACCCTCTCCTATAAATCAACCAATCCCAGATTCCATTTGATCTCGAGATTCAGCTAGGAATTTAATCCACTAGAACAGTACTATACCAGTAAACTACAATATTATGAGCTGTAACCAAGTGAGAAACAAATAAAGTATTACAGAACAATAAATATCTGCTCAGCCAAACAAAGTAAGATTGTGACTTTCAATATCAGTGTTTCGTCTTCATATTAACCTGCACCTAGCCTTTAAAAAGTCATATAGAGTAAATGCTTTATATAAGAAGGTGCAGATCAGGCTTCTGAATCCAGCGAATTGCTCGATTCATAGAAACAAAATTAATTACCTGCACAAGAAGATGAAGAACCTCAAATAGAATGGTTAAAAGCCACTGCTCAAAGTTTTCAACGGCTGAAGCCATTTTTTGCTGGATGCTAACTTCAGCATTGACATTTCCCTCCACTCCTTGATCTTCATTGTTTAAGCAAGGCTCTTCTCGAACATCCTCTTCTACAATTGCAGGAGTATCATCCACTACAGGCTCCAACAAATGAGCATGAACACCAAGGTTTAGAATTAAATCAAAAACCCGGATCCTAGAAGCCACTGTTTGAGAAGTAAGCATATCCTGAGCAATGCAGGGTAAAATGAGGCATCTAGAATAGATCATTTTGTTGAAGTAACTGAATCTAAATCAAACAAATAAAGCACCTCTAGCATTAAAAGAGTAAGAGGAGCAGCAGATGCACAATCCATCACATACCTACAAAATAAAATCAGCACTTATCTCTTGAACTGTCAAAAAGGAAATGTCAACAAAAGCATTTCATTGGTTTGATTTGTGAATTGATTTTTTTTTAATCAAAGGCTAAGAGAATCCTTCTCATTAAAATAAGAATGAGATTACATAAACAATTACAGAAGAAAAGTAACAAAAATAATAAAAGACAAAGGAAGCACAGCTAAGTGGTTGCAGTACCTCAGAGAAGATCATTGTTTCCAATCTAAACTAACAATGAACAAATGATTCACTGGTATAGTCGTATTAATTTATTTGTACCTTAGAAATATCCATATACCCAGCGCCTAGTCTAGTTACTAAAAGATCATCATCAAGACACCAAATTAGATTAGAGAACCAACGCAATCACAATTAACCTTATCCCAACTACTTGGGGTCCACTTGCTGTTGCTTAAATTTCACTGTCATGAGACAATGGAAGCAAGCATCTTTACATGGAGATGATGCAAACAATTAAGACTATATTTTATTACTAGAGCAAAAGGACCCTTGGTGGGGCCTATGATCTTGATAAGTTTGAGAAGTAGCATGCTGCCATCATCATAGAGCTAGTTGTTGAGGGGAGCGGTTCCACTAACCAAATTATCGAAATGAGATAGTCAGAGTATTTATTTTGGAAAGTTGAAAGAAAAAAATTCAATACGATGAAATGCACCTCATAATGTGATAGGAAGTGGATGCAATTTCAGCAAAATCGGAGAACGACACAAGAAATTTAGGAAGAAGAACACACAAGAACTCTTTTTTTATTGAAAGAACTAAGAAGAAAAAAACAAAAGATACGGTTGGATTTTCAATTGGAGACGAAGATCTGGCTTTTCCAAATCCCTAGCCATCGGCTAGAGCCCACTCAACCTAAGCAAAACTAATTCCAACTAAATCAAGCATAATCTGGAATCACCCCATAGTTAGCCTTAGATAGGCTCCCCTAATTCCCTCCAAAATTAACCCCCTTTTCCCTAAATAATTTTCTCATATATGAATTTAAATTAGATCTCTTTCCCTAATTAATTCCCTCTCAATTGTAGTTAAACATTTCCTAAACAATTCCCCCTTGATTCCTCCTTACATAATGAATATTAACTTCTCCAGGCTTTTCTTAAATATCAATGGACGAGAAAATGGACTAACACTAGGTTGAATAATCCCTGCCTCAAGCATCTCCTTGATTAATCTCTCAATCTCTTCATTCTGGATTTGGGGATGACGGTACAGACAACACTGATAGGTGATACTCCTCCCATCAAGATGATAGCATGCGTGCGTTCCTGCGAATGAGGCAACCCATGAACTAGTTAGAAAACTCCTCGATAGTGTTGTAGGGGTGGCTAAACCATGTATGGTGCTTCTATCTTCTCCCCATCTCCTTCTCAATCCAAACTCTGCAGTTCTATGGAAAATCCCACTCCTTCACCCTTTCCCCTCCTTAAAAGTGGCTCCAACATCTTCTTTTCTTCCCCCAATATTTCCACCTCCTCATCTTCCCCTATCCTTATCGGATTAGGGTTTCCTCCACTCCATTGGCCGTCGGCAGCTCCCCCCACCTCCGACGCCGCCATTTTGATATGAAACTCAAGCATCTTTTTTATCATCTCCTCCATGATGGCAAACTTTACATCGATCTTTTTATATAAGGAAAAAAATTGCTTTTTAAAATCTGAAATCTTTTCTATGAAATTATATTTCAATTGTTCAATCTCCTCTTCCAACACTTCTACCTTTCTTCCCGCCATTGGTACCCGGATCTAGGCTCCGAACATAAAAAAAACAACAAATCTGGTCTTCCAACAGCAAAAATCAGCAAGACGGAGGGAAAAAAATGTTGCAGAAATCAATGATGAAGACTTTATTTCAGCCCAAGACATAGCTCTGATACCAATTTGATAAAGAGTTGATACAATTTAAGCAAAACCAAAGAACGACACAAGAAATTTACGAAGAAGAACACACAAGAACTCTTTTTCATTGAAAGAACTAAGAAGAAAAACACAAGATATGGAGAGTAAGATCGGGTTCTCCCAAATCCCTAGCCATTGACTAGAGCCCACTCAACCTAAGCAAAACTAATTCCAAAAAAATCAAACGTAATCTGAAATCACATCATAGTTAACATTAAATAGGCTTCCCTAATTCCCTCCTAGACCAGCCCTCTATTCCTAAATAATTCTCTCTCATATTTAAATTCAAATTAGATATTGATGTGAAACCAGGAATTGTTTCTTAGAAGTTAATAGAAGTTTGTTAAAATAATGGTAATACAATTCAATGCTTCTCTAATTTAACGATTCAAAGAAGATCTTAGAAGTTAACAACGTCTAGGCAAGTAGCTCTAACTAAGTTTGCAAGATTTATAAAATAACAACATCAATAACAAGTAATGAAGATGAATGGCCAACTAGAATCCGGCGGTTAACAAAG